AGTTCCCTTGATCCATGAAAAGTTACTTTGCCTGAAATATTGTTGCTTTACCAATCTATAATAATCAGGACACCTTCTAACTGCTTTCTACTTCTGAAAAGGAAATTAAGTTTTCTCATTCAAACTCTACTGATTTTCCCCCCTAATTTTACGGTAAATTTCTTTACTGAAAGTTGCCCTTATTTTCTTGCAGCATTTAAAGGAAGATATGAAGTTGAGTTACTTAGTCCAAGAACTGATATCAACTGACCGCTTAGCTCCTCAATCATGGTAGATTTATCAAACTTTTTGTTAAGTAGTGCACTGGCAACCTCCTTTCTTTCTTGAATAATTTATATATCTTACCAATTTCACTATCCTAAGTTTCTCGAAGCTGTTATTTACCTGAGATTAAGTTCTACTTGCCTGCCTTTTTTAATAGTGGCTAGGTATGTGCTTTTAGCAATTTTGAGGGTTTGGAGGGCAGCCATTTTGAATTTTGATAGTTCTTATAATAATTATTATCATTGTTCTATTGTTTATATTTGAATTAACTTGCAGGTGTGCCATGGGAAACTGCTACAGCTTGCAGAAAGACCACGAAACTGCTCTGAAAAATTTCCAACGATCTGTGCAACTGAATTCAAGATTTGCATACGCCCACACACTTTGTGGTCATGAGTATGTTTCCATGGAACTTTTTCCTCCATTGTTCAACGTGCTAATAACGACTCCATTCTTTTTAAACTTCAATTGTTTATTAAAAGTTCTGCCCTTACATTATTATCTACAGGTATGTTGCTTTAGAGGATTTTGAGAATGGAATCAAGAGCTATCAGAATGCCTTGCGGATTGATTCAAGGCATTATAATGCCTGGTATGGTCTAGGAATGATCTTTCTTCGTCAAGAGAAGTTTGAGTTTTCGGAGCATCACTTTCGAATGGCTTTCCAAATAAACCCTCGTTCTTCTGTTATAATGTCTTATCTTGGAACTGCTCTTCATGCCTTAAAGGTCAGGCTACTTTCTGTACTGTTTATTATATCTTGACTTGAACAATATCATCTTGAGTTCTTTGAACTTTTGTTGCAATCATTTTATAGAAAAGTGAGGATGCTATCAAGATAATGGACAGGGCAATTTTGGCAGACAGAAAAAACCCTCTTCCCATGTATCAAAAGGCTAATATACTGATGAGCTTGGAGAAATTTGATGATGCTCTAGAAGTTCTAGAGCAACTTAAAGAGTATGCCCCTCGTGAAAGCAGTGTGTATGCTTTGATGGGTAAAATCTATAAGCGCCATAACATGCATGAAAAGGCCATGCTTCATTTTGGAATTGCTTTGGATTTGAAACCATCTGCAACCGATGTTGCTACAATTAAGGTATTGACTTATATTCGATCTCTTCTTTCTTTTTTTTTCTACAAAAAAAAAAAATCACTTAGGTTTGTTTCCATCTTCAAATGTTAGAAATCCATGATTTCTTTTGATGAGAAGATATATGCGCCCATTGTTACAAATAAATAACCATAGCGAAGATTTTTACAGTGATGGTCTGAATCTTTTAAAGCTGTAAACTTGAAAGAACTGTGGGCACCCTGGAGTTCTAATGTCAGTTTTATTAGGAACATGTTAATTTGGACTTGAACACTCACATCATGTTAAAAATTTAGCAATATGTATATGTCATTTTTTTTCTCTACTGCCTAACTTATTTTCACTCTAGTTAGGCAGTACTTTGTACGTGAAAGTGTAACTTTTAACATAGCTTTGTTCTTCCTAAGGAAAAATGAATCTTTGTTCTTTACACCCTTGCTCTCTTTTGAATTTTAAAACAGGCTGCCATTGAGAAGTTGCATGTACCGGACGAATTAGAAGATAACCTGTAAATTCGCTGAGTTTCAAGAAGCAAAGAGAATCTCCTGTAAAATTTCTGGCTGAGAACATTTTACTGAGAGAGATTGGTCCTGCTTGTGCTTTCGATTGGTGCTGAATAAAATGGTAACAATCTTGAAGGCCAATTTATTTGTGCAGTCAGATCTTGTGAAAGTGACCTAAGTTTTGTGGGTGACTTACATGCTGACAGAGGACTTGATTAACAAAATTAATGAAAGCTGCCACACATGCATCCCATAGTTGTATTATCTTGCCGAGAATAGGGGCTTGTACCATTAGGTTGTACTTGTTTATAATTGTAATTTGTTTGACCAATACATTGAGGCAACATGAAATTTAATGTTGGCTCATAACTTCATTTTAATTCTAGTCCATCACACATGTTTTGCATTGTCACCAGACTTAGTGCCAGTGGATTCAGATTCATAGACTTTATTAATCCATAGAACAATCCAAAGGAGTTGTACTCACTTTCAAGGATTGTTCATTTAACATGCAAGAAAGTTAACTTACTGAGTAGGAATTATTACTGGTCCATTGCAGCTTGTAAAACTTTGAGAGCTGCTTCCATTCTCTGAGCCATAACTTGCAAACCAGAAGCAATGAAGAAATCCAAATCCTCAAGTGTCCAGCCTTTTGCAGGCTCAACTTCATACTTCCACTCAATGTTACACCCTTCTTCCTTGGGCAACACTTTCACTGTGGATATATAAGAATTGAAACCAACATTTCCATCCACAATGGAATAGCTAAAAACCATTTCACCTGGATCTATGGTCAACAGTTTCTGCTTAGTCCAATCCACAGTTCCTTTATCAGTACTGCCATTGACAGGAGTTTTGAAGCCAGCACAAAAACGAACGCACCCGGTTGTCCAGAGATGCCTTCGACGGGAAGGCAAGTGGTCAGAGTTGGGAACCACTTGTCTAAGCCAAAAAAGTCTTGCAGGAGAGGCCATACTTGTTCTGCTTTGGGGCCTGCTAGCTCTGCGGTGGCCTTGCCTTCCCATTTTGATTGGTTTTGCTGAGCATAATTAGCCATCGGAGGAATTGAAAAAAAAAAAAAAAAAACTATCAAAGAACAAAGCAATCAAATTAAGAAAAATAGGATGGGTTCCTTTGGGTTTAGCAGTTGGCGTTTATATAGAGAAGATCATTAGATATGATGATGAAGGGCGAAAGGCCATGGCTGAGGATGTTTTTGCACGACAACTGGTCCAATTATTTTTGTGGTGTCTGTTGAGTCTAGCAGTTGTACAGTACTAGGATTTTGCAAGAGAAACATGAATTTCGCAGAACACGTGGATTAATTGTTGACATCAACATAGATTACAATCTAGCAATAAATTAGATTTCATTGGAATTGGTTAAATGTTAGTAACTTATGGAGTGGATTTTTTTTCTTCAATTTCTTCATTGCAATCATTTTACAGCCCTCTAAAATTCTCTTTTATATAATCTTTCTATTAATGAATCATAATAAAAAATTATAAAATTTCTAGTATTTAAAAGTGTGAGTTTAGCATAATTACTTTTTTTTTATAAACAAATTGCTGAATTATATAATTGATTAATTATATTATTAATAATTGTAGGAGATATATTTATGATAAAATATATATATAAATCCATATTCTTTTTGGAATACTTATTTTTTTAATTTAATTTATGATATTGATATCATATTTGAATTAGTGTTACTTTTTAATAAATTTAATACTCATTTTTGATAAATTTTATACTTTTATTTTACAGCAAAGCAAAAAATAAGTAGAAAAAAGAAACTCATACGCCTTGATTATTATAGAAGAAAAGAAAATCTGTAAAGAAGATAAACTCATTAATTATAGGATAAACTCAATGCTACTTTCATACGAAGACTCAACAAAAGATGATGCATGGATTAATTTATATAAAACATTAATTTCAAAAGACAATCTCCTAATAGATTTGATAAATACTATTAATCTTATATGAACACCAATAATAATTAATATGAATTGTCAAAAATCAATACTTGTTAGGAACAACCTCATCAATTTCATCAAATCATAAGGTAGCTATGAAGAATTCAAGTTCTCAATGTTTGTGTGTGTCTAATTTAACTTTTTCATTTATGGGATATTTTTTTATATTAGAGATGAGAGTTAAATTATTTAGATTTAAATTCAAACCGTAGAATAGGTCACGATTTTTATTTAATCACTTGGTCAAAAAGTTTTGATTAAACAAAGAAAAAAATTTGTCGCTTACAATAATTAATATATAATACATAGTAAAAATGATCATATTTAAAACTTGTTTCATCCATGTTACCGTCCCCATCTCCATCTCTCAATTATAAGGCATATGTCGGCTTAAAGCCACTATTATTGAAATGATTTGCTTAATTAAAATCATTTTGCATGTGGAAAGATTTTTTTTTTTTTTTTTTGAGCATGTTTCTATCAACTTTATAGGTTATATCCAAAAATGAAGTGGGTTTATCAAAGGGGGAGAACAAATTTTGTGGTGAACTTAATTATTTCAGATTGCATCAAAATGTTGGGTCTCAATCTTATCAGCAGAAGTGTAAACAAAAACGATAATGTCAGTCCAATTCTAGCCTTTCTTTTTAGTAATTCGGTCAGGACATCTCTAAACTTAATGAAGTTTGGTTATGGCTGTAGATCCCCACACATTCTTGACTTCCAAACACAGCCTTATGGAACGTGGAGATTGAGATTATTACTATCAATCTAATGCTACGATGGAAAATATGGCCCACCTAACTTTCATTTAGTTTTCATTGGAAAATCATTTTTCCAACACTTTTAAGCTACCAGAAAACGATCAATGATTTCTAGTTGAAATTTCCACTGTTCTTAACGTTAAGGTCACTTGAATTATAGTCCTGAAACGAGCCAAAAATATCTATTTGGTTCACAAAACTTGTCGGTGAGCTTCGTACGTTGTGATAAGGAAAATAAAAAATCTAAAGTAAATAATGCTTTTCATGTCCTCATTATCAACAATAATGTAGAAGTTTTTTTTTTTTTTTTCTTTTCAATATGAACATTATAAGCTGCATATGGGTACTGGGTGAGCTTAATATTTCTTAATCACCTAAACGGGTTTGTCTTGGAAATTTTTACAAGCCACGAGTCCAAAAGGAAGGGATCCAAAAAAATTACCCTATCAAATACTACAAGGTAATATCCTAATAAATAAAATGATGGTATGATATGCACAGATACTGAGGAAGCATATTTTTCCATGAAATGTCTTAAGTCCATGCATTTAGATCCTAGATTGAGACTACCCAACCACTGTCACTTTGGCAGGATCGTTTCCACTAGCTCTAAAACTGTGTTTTAACGACATAATGATATGAAATCATATTCAACACTAGAAGAGCAATGATTATACCTTGAATGGTGCTAAAATCGCGAGGCTTGAGGCGGCCACAAATTTCATGGAAGTTAGAAAAATATCAGCAGCTGTAACCTATTAGAACCAGAGGTTTTCTGAAAACATTGGACACTGTCAGCCAAAAACTAAAATGAAAAGCAATAGCTAGATCGAAGGCAAGTCAACTAGTAATTGTCATCATGTCACTCAAAAACAGGCCGTACTGCCACAATGTCCTTCTGCAACTCACGTAGGTCAAGAAGAAAACAACAACAATGATTCTGACAACACAACAACAAAAAAATTGTCCATGTCCCCTGGCAAGGATGATCCAAGCTTCCAAAACATTAAACGCTTGGTTCCATAATTAAAGCTGAGTCTTTCATCAGTCTAGTCTTCAATAGCAGTGAAGCTGGAAGAATTACCCTGATGGTATTATGTAAAAATGGGATGAAAGATCACGCCAAATAAACGTTAGTTGAAACTGAAATTGTTCCTCAAGTACTGTTCAGGCGCAAAAGGTGATAAAATGCAACATACATGCACCATGATTTCACTAGGAGAAGGCTACAACGGAAGGCCTAAATATAAAAGCTTTACATTAGATCATGGTCTCAAAGTATATTGTACATATATTGTACAGCCTCAAAGAAAACAAAGTGATAATATCACATATTATACTCATCTCAGCTTATATAATTCTTATATCTCTTGTAATCTCTAACTACACTATCTTGCTTGTGCTATTTCTGTATTTGAAACTTAGATTCAGAATCGATTCCTACATCTAAAACTGCATCACTTTTTGAGCCTTCTTTTTTGCTCTGAGTTTCTGTTTCAGTATCAGCAGCATTTCTTTCTGATTTAGGTGCCCCTTCTTCAATTTGGGGGCCTTTAGTGATCTGACTTGTATGGTTCAAACTTGAGACGGTTTCTTGATGTAAAATATTCTTTGCTTGACCATCTCTTGACTTAGCCAATGTGAATTCTACAAGATCATTGCCACCCTGAGGAACACCATTCTCATCACGAAAGCCATGTAATTGATTTGCAACTTCATTTGAGCCAAGAACAGTGGCATTCTCTGTACCATTCACATGCTTGGTTATCTCCTTACTTCCAAGGTTTTTATCTTCATTCTCTTTGCTTGAACCTGTTTCGTCATGTTTGCCTTGTTTAAGAGCACCAATACTTGTTTCCTCATCTCTTTGTAGTTCTTTGGTGTAACTTTCCAAGTCCTTGTCATCTCCTTGCTCAACAAGATTACCACCACTCTTATTTCCTCTTTCATCAGAAATATTTTGGCTTTTCTGGTCCTGCTCATCCCCTAGCCCATCACGTTTGGACACAATTCTCTTTGAATTTTGTAGTCCTTCTCGGGAATTATCTTCACTGGAAACTTCATTATCATTGTCTCTCATTTCGGTTTCAATCTTTTCACTATTTGCTGAAATATTATATGGTATTTCTAGCTCCATTTTCTTCCCCTCCTCTACCTTAGTCTTGACATCGCCATGAATGTATTGATTTCCCTTGTCTAAAGATTCATTTTCCCCTTTCTCATCAACAATTCCATCCAAATCATCATCTCCGCCACCTCTATCTTTCTGTTTTCCTTCCGCTTCAAGAGTTATATCTTTCAAGTCAGACACATACAAACCTTTATCACTCAACTCCACATCCCCTTTGCGCCCCAATATCATAACACTGTTTCCTTCACTTTGTAAACTCCCAACATCCTTTTCGTTGTTTGAATGCTTGAATTGGTATAGCAACCAGATGCAAACGGCTAAAGTTAATGTAAACTTAAAGGCCTGCTTGACATTAAACCCTCTGGGTCTCTGGTTCTGGCCAGTGGACTGGAAATACATCACAATCCGCACACTATTGGAAAAATCACAAGAAAAATAAGCAAGGACTACCCAACTTCATATCAGTATATCACAATTCACAAAGATAGAGAAACTTGAAAAAAAAAGAACTGAAAGACTATAAAAGAATCTCTTTCATAAATCAGTTTCAAACATGCAGATTCAATGATGATTACAGAACATTTGAATAAGTCAACACTAAAAATGTATAAACAGGCTATTCAAATTGGTATTCATAGCTCTATTCTTCAACTTCCCGGAATATATCAGTTTTGGTACTCAAGTACCATTCTTATAAAAGATAACAGCAATTACAAACAGATTCATGTATCAACAGAAAAATTGCTTTGCACAGATTAGGCAAAATCTTTTTCATATAGAACTTAAGCCGGAATTTCATTCCGCGTCAGGAATATTATAGTTTAGAGCATTATCAAATTAAAGATAGCTTCCAGTCCAAGAAGGGAAAATCCAACAAAATCTCTTATTTTTTCATTTTTTTGTTCATTCCCATAGACTGACTATTGATTGCATTTTTAATTAATGATAAAGAAATTAAAATTTTGTTGTTATGACAAAATTTAAGCTCAATTGTAAAGCTGAATCACATCAAGGGTTCAATAATGAAGGGGGTTTTCGCTTTCTCGGTCCCATTTATACTGATATTTGAACTAATAAAAGTCACTGTAACACATTTTCTCAGCAGCCAAACAAGACTTCAACGAGTTCCTATCTTCAAAGACTACAATTTAATCCAATTATAAGACTAAACAAAATAAACATAAAGGATAATCACGAATCTACTAAGACAAATAACTAATTTTTCCACAAATTTAAAGGAGAAATGAATTACCTTTCTCAGTAATTTTCGTTGAATCAAGCTATTGCTTTTCTTTTCTTTTCCATGTTGCGGGAAAACAAGGGGTTTGAGAACCCCAATCAGCCATTTTTTGGTCAAAATCTCTAAAATACCCCTCTGACGACTGCTTGACCCTCGCTACTTGGAAGTTGATAGTCCATGCAAATTTGTTGGAAGTATAAGGGTGATTTAGGAACCTTATAGACATTCACCGCCGGCACCGCCTTCTAATATCTTAGTTTGCAGCGTACTTATGGAGAACAAAGGGCGGGATATGTAGCCAATCACTAGTCGCCACGTCTTCCACGGATTTCTTAGAGGTTTTGACTTTTGGTTTAATAAACAGGAAAAAAATTTCAAATAAAGTGAGCAAAACTTTTCATATATCTATCTATATTTAAAAAATAGCTCTAATTTTTACAAATATATATTTTTCACGAAAGAAATTTGAAAATTTACATTTCAGAAGAATTTCTTAGATAATAATATTTAAATGTTCTATCAAATATATTGAACATCTCTTGTGTTTAATCTTTTTTGGAGCTTAGTGAAATGTCAAATTTTTTTATTTTATTTTCTCTTCAAATTTTAACATAAAAAATCAAACAATATTAATACATTTGAGTATTTAATTTGACAATTAATGTATATTTTATTTAAAAATATTGGATCCGTGCAATAAAAACAAATATATATGTATATACATACACAATATAATTAATGCAATTAATATTAAGATTAAGACCAATGGATATTTGAGCTAAAGACATTTAGAAACCTATTTTAAAAATATTCATAAAAAAAAATTAGCTATCACACATTATTAGATGGACAATAAAAAGATAATAAATCTTAGCATTTATAATTTTTTTACTTTCAGTCTCCAAATATTTTATAAAAAAATTATAAATTTTTTTACATGATTGAAGTGTACTTGAGATATTTCATCAAATATGATTGAATTTAATTTCATAATTCAAATGTGTATACATAAATATAGACATGTGAATATTCAATGAGCATGACATATAAATATTCATATAACTCACATAAAAAAAATACGACTGTCCTAATTTTGTCGAATTGACACATTGTTAATATTTTTAATTAGTCCTCGTTAGTTAATTAATGATCATTCATAAGAGTCGTATAAGGAAGGACAAGTTGAATGTCATGTTCACCATATATCAACAATAATATCGAACAAAGTTTTTGTAAATAAATAGCTGCCAAAAATGATAGTAACCAAACAGCGATGTGTTTTATAAAAGAATGATGGGTCCGAGTTGAAATTGAAAAAAAATTTGCTCTTTCCGACCACTATAAATTTTTTATTTGTTGCAAGTTATTGGTGATTTTTTGGGTGGAGATTGGCAAGTCTTGATCACTTATTCATTGTGAAATTAATTTTTAAGTAATGTGGAAGGCAACTCCTGCTTCTCAACAACATTATTGGTATTGCATGGCCCGGATTTGCGCATTTTTTTCGTAAGCATTACTCTTTATATATGTATGGGAAAGCAAACAGAAAAGGAACTATAATTGCTTGTTGAAATTAAATTTAAAACCACATTGACCTTAAGAATAATGGTTAGATCTTTTCTTTTAAGTTTAAGTTTTTAAAATTAACATTTAATGCTATATAGTTTCTGATAAGAAACCTATGCTTTACAAATGGAGCCTAGCTTGATTGGTAGATGCCACTAGCGCCATAAAACTTTTGGATAAGCTATTCAAAATTATATAGAGAAAACCATAAGAAGCCGAGATATATGAGTCAAAAGATCATAATAAAAAGTTTAAACAAAGTCATCATTGGTAACATGCTTTTCCAAAGACATTTTCTTTTGTTTTTATTAGGTTATATATAACCTATTGGCAGAATCTGAATAACTAAAGGTTTTTAAGGCTTTATAATAATTAATCATGCAGGCATGCATTGCTATAGATAAGGAAGAGGAGACTCGGGGTCCCAAAATTGCACATAATAAAGAGATCCAGCAATCGAACAACCTCATACATGCTTGGTGCTTCTTCCACTTGGCACTTAATAAAGCTAATAAAGTGACAAATCCACCACGAAATTAGAAATTATTCAGCCTTAGTTATACCTTGGAGGATTGGCATGAAAAAAAAAAAAAAAAACATAAAGCCCCCTTATTAGGGAAGGGAAGGATGTTCAATTATGATCATAATTGAAGTTTATTAAGAAAAGAACTTTGAAATCAATAAAAGCGAAGAAAATGACAGTGAGAAAAACAGCTTTAAAATGGGGTCGGACCACCAATAATTTAAGGCATCAAATATCTTTGAAATGTTAATTAATATGTAAACAGTTTTTAATGGTGTTGGATGAAAAATCATCAATGTTTGGTTGAGAGGATAGAGATTAGTGGTTATCCCTGTAGGGCTCCTCGATCGTTTGACACGCTTTTGCTCTCAAACCTTCAATTTCTCCAGCTATAGCTAAGAAATTTCCAAACGTCAGTTCTCCAATCAACTTGTCTTCTTAATTAATTCTTATGCTTCCCTTTAGTCGTTTTCAAGTCCTCTGGAAAATGGTCGATGAGATTAATTGTGCCGTCTTTACTAATTTGTATATCGGCTTTCCATCCATGATCAAGTCATAATTAGAATAATCAATGAAACCCTATTTTTTTTCCTATTTTTAACCATTCATAAGCTCGTTGGTTTTGATATAAATGGTTTTATTTTAAAGTTTTATCAATGTCCTCTAATGGACTAATTTCAAATGTACTATCTTTATAAAAGGAAAATTATTTTATTTACCATGAATGAAAATTTTAAACTCTATCAATCTGTAACATATACTCTTTAAGTTAATAGTAAAAAATTAAAGCTCCATTTAATTTGCATTTTTATTATTTGCTTTTGTTTTTCTGATTAATACAAAGTAAATAAATAAAAAAATAAAAAGTAAAAGCATGAAGCATATGAAAATATTAATACAACAAAAAGAAAATACACATAAAATTTTTATTAAAGTTATAGAGTTTAAAAACTCAACCTATAGGGAAGAAACCCATCGTGTATATCCTTTGACACAATAATACCCACCGGCAAGAGCACTTTCTGCCGTGCTCAACATAAAGTGCATCGTTTTGAATACATTAATAAAACGTAAACTTTGTTCTAAAGCAAGCCCACCAATGTAAGCCCCCTCTCTGTGATTTATTAAAAGAAGTAAACATCTAAGAGCTCTCTGTTGATGCTGATGGATTTGCTTTTTTTTTTTTTTCCGTCGAAAATTTTAATTAGAAAAAGGGATCCCACCAATATCAATGAGCAATCTATTTTGTTCTTTAATTTTTGTCTTCAATAATTTGAAATTTTAACGGATGCCTAATGGACTGGTTAAGAGGATATTTTAAGAAAAAGTATAATTAATAAATTAATTTTTAATTTAATAAAAAATAGATTAAATACAAAAAACCTTCTTAAAATAATAATTAAATAATTTTTAACCTATGTCTATAAGTATCCGTCCATTCATAATTGATTGTTAATTATTGTACTCCCAACAAAATTTAATTAAATATTCCCTTCTTCTAATTTAAAATTTCATCCATAATATTATTGAATCTTGTATAAAATGACCAAGATTCTATTGAATCTTAAATTAGAATTCGGTATATGCCGGCCTAGTAGTTTGATGTAATTAAATCACATGATCCATGCTTTTTCTTGCCCTAATTTTTATTTTTTCCATCACTCCTCTTTCCATGGAGCAAGTCTGAGCTTCTAGGTATTATCGTATAGACTTTTGGCAAACTTAATTGCTCCATAATCACGTGAAAATCTGTACATGAAAAAGGAAGCTAGATTCTCATCTAGCAAAAGAATTAATAATTTTATTTCTTGTCATTATGGAAAGGCAAAATTTTTAGTGCTAATAATATTTTTTTATATATAATATTTTTTTATATATACAAAAGCTATAGGGTAAGGATAATTTCAAATGTTAAAATTTGAATCATAAATTTATTTTGTTAAATGTCTTTTAAAAAGGAATTGTATAAATTAATTGATTTAATTAGATATCAAGTTCAATGCCACCATTGTTTTAGTCGAATTTGGATGAATTAATGGGTTCAAGTAATCATCATATTCTTGACAGCCAAACTGATTAAAGTCATCGAAAAAAAAAATCATATGGTGGCAAAGGAAGGTTAATCCTTTCCGTATGTTCATGGAAAAGAATTACAGAAAAGATGAAGAAAATGTTAACAAGAAGCAATTTGTTATAAGCATTTCTTCTTTAAAAAATTCAAAATCATGAATTTACAAGATAACGTGAGCTTTCATATATCTAAAACATGTGAAGTTCAAATTACCAATTTTTATTAATCATTGAAAAAGAGAGATTGTGAGAAATTATAAAAGCTGAAGTTTCATGCATCGAAATAAGAATTTTCAAAAAAGATGATCAATTTTAAATTATAAAATAATCGAATAGTAATTCAAACTAATATTGTTCTAGTTGATTAATATTGGCATCTTAGGGATCTCCTCAGCTTTGGATTCCTCGTCGTCTTGTAAGTTTTCCAATATGTCTTAGGACCCATCTTGAAAGCAGCTTTCACAGTTCAAAGATTATACGTAGAGGAAAAGTATAAATTAAATTAAAGAGAAAGACAAACAAGTTAAAAGCAAGAATATGAAAAAATTGGTTAAGAACAAAGTAAAACATAATCATCTGGTTAACTTCACAACGTAGCTACCCTGGAATGTTGCTTTCGGGAGCATTTAAAATGACCAATAATTCCTTTTTTGTTGTTAAAATTTTCGTACTTTATTCAATCATATTAATCAATCACTTGGCTAGTACACACAGGTTGGCTGGCACTGTCATTTTCACCATAATTGGCTGAAAGAGAAGATGGAGTTCTATGTTCGCCCTCCCATCTTTTGCACGTGACACCCATACGTTCAAATATAGAGAGGGGATCCCATTCCCACCCTCTTCCTACCAAATTGAATGGGCGTGATGAATGTATACAAAAGGTTGATATTGGCACCTAAGGCCATAGATTCATCTGGACCTCCTAAGTTGGTGCAGCTATTCATTTCTGTCAACCTTGTCAGCCTGGCATTTTGGAACTCATCATCTCTCTCTCTCTCTCTCACCATGAAAAAGCTTGCAAGGAATAACCAAATATCCTCGATCAAGCCTCTACAAACTTCGTATACGGTTCAAGTCAAAATCTTTAATTCTACTCTGTTTTTCTTGCACCACGCCATTAATTTGCTTTAAGTCATAAATTATTACAATACCCATGCATGATTCAATTGGTAAGTAGTTACTACGTCTAATTATAACAATAGTACTATATTTAATTAGTACAAGCATATAGCTCTTGACCAAAAAAGTACAAGCACATAGTTTTTCCAATAATTAGAAAATAAATGACTATTGCTAATTGTTATCTCAATAATTTCAAAGGCATTTCATATTTTCTTGCTACATAATTTTTCCAAAAAAAAACTATACCATTGAAAAAAACCCCTTTCCCCATTTAACTAGTGTAGCCAAAAACCATGTCATTGCCAATCCATGGTTGTTCCCTTAACCATATATATACTATGATTAGAAGCTAGCTTTTTTTTTTTTTGGAAGGGAATTGTAAGCTAGCTTCTAGACTTTGAATTTTCGCACCAAAATTAAGTTTGGGTAGCCATAATTTGTCAATGCTGTCACACATTGTTAGGTAGGGGGTCATGGTCTATTTAATATGCTCTTTTAATATGCAAAACGGACTGTCAAGATACAAGTACAGACAGTTCGGATTTAACCCATTTGAGCTGTGATCTAGACCATATGAAATTAACTGATCACCTTAGCGTCCACGGCAAAGCCCTTTTTCGGCGTCTTGATCACACTAAATATCTTTTGAACCAAAAGGGTGTACTTAAGTAATTTGGTCACGCCCTAGGGTTCTTCTAGTAATTTCGAGTGAAACTTTCCTAATCAAACGAAAAGAAAAAACGAGGAATATAAAAAAAATTGAAATGAAAATTTCGTCCATCGTTTCCCTTGCATGGGAATCATAATCCTTCCCGTTTGAAGCGCGTGAGGGCTTTGTGTTTATGCAATTTTGAAAGCTTTTTACTGTTTTAGCAAGAACGCGCCATAGTGGAGAGTGGGACTTGTTTGCTTGTTTAAATTATTAATCTTGATTAATAATTAATTATTTTCCAGCCCTTTATATAGCTCTCCAGAGCTCTTCCCCATTGCGTCCAGCTCCAAACCAAAGATCCCTCCTTCTCTTTATCTCTCTCTCTCAAAAATTACCCAAAAATATTAAATATAAAGGAAATACAAAAAAAAAAAAACTCTCTCTCACCCTGAAAAGTACAAAAAAATGGAAGTGGAGGCAAGCCCAGCAGTTGTAGCAAAAAAACTATGGAACATTGTACGGATCGTTTTCTTCATGTTAAAGACGGGGATATCAAAGAGCAAAATAATGGTTGATCTCCATTTTATGCTCAAGAAAGGTAAATATAATGCAAGCAAAGCAATAAGCAATCTGGTGTCCCACCACAAAGTCCACGACCATTTATCTTCCTTGAGTTGCCGATCCAACGATGCTCATCTCTCCTTCATTTCCCCAAGAGAATACGAGTTCAGCTGCAGCAACAGCCCAGCTTTTTACCCTTTTTATGCTCACAAGCGTAAGCACCATAATCACCATTTCTACCACAACCGCCACCATTTTGTCAAGTCATCTAATTATCGTTATGATGATGTGACGACGGTCGCGGCGCTGCAAAAGGTTCTGGAGATGTCGAACAATGAGGCGGCGGTGGAGGCGTCTCCCATGGTTTTGTCAGGGTTTGGAAGGAGTCCGGTGGTGAGGCAACTGAGAGTGACTGACTCGCCTTTCCCGTTAAAGGACGAGGGAGATAGCCAGGTGGATAAGGCGGCCGAGGAGTTCATAAACAAGTTTTACAAGGACCTTAAGTTACAGAAAAGAATGTCTTTTTCCTTTGAGTCTCCTGCTCATAGCACATGGAGTCGATGGTGAATTGATTTTTAATGGTTCAAAGGAGCTATACCATGACATATATAAACCTCGTTTCTACACACTTTCCATTCTTCCTCTGGGAAAATTATCTTCACACCTTCAAACGAAAACCAATCTCAAACCAAATCAGGACATGATTTGCACATACCAAATACTTTCACTTTTGCACTTCGAGTGAGAAATTTTTATCTGACAAAGTTTGGTTACTTGGGGTGGTTTTTTAAAGTGTATTTTGCCTTTTTGTAATTTGATGATTAAGAAAACCTTTTAGCTATTAATATTCGTATAACTTTTTTGGGTACCGATACGCAAGTAGAGAATTTTCTTGAATCATTTTTCAAGGTGGGTGAGTGGAGGAGCTTTGGATTTATTAGCATTTAGGGTTTCTTTTTAAAGCTTTTTACATTTGTTGTGTTGTTGTCTTTTAATTTTTGATAGCGATCGTTCTGGTCGTGGTTGATTTACGTAGTTATAAGAGTTTGCTATGCATGAAAGAAAAAATTTATTAATTCGAACAATAACTTTTTCTGTTAATTTGGAAAGTTTCATAATTAAATATATGCATATAGCTATATGAAATAATATTAAGAATTCATTTAGATGTGTTGTTAGAGAATATTTATCATGTTGTATTTATCATTTTATTCATTAAATTTTTTAAGATTCAATAATAAAGTATTGTTATAATACGGACATTTCATTAGTTGAAAAATCTAATCATAAAATACAATTATGATGTAATGACAATCTCTCCCACCATGCAATTAAAAAAACTTTAGCTGTCCTTAAGTTTTTGATCTAGTGATTAAAATCATTTGAGGGGATATTAAGGATTTAATTTCGAATCAGGTTTCTTTTTTGCCCTTACTTGTATTAAAATTTTATTCTCTTGATATAATAAAAAAAAATTTTAGTTAAGTAAAGTATGCTTGTTTTTAACCTAGTTTTCATCAAATTTTCTCTTGGTATACGTACGGATTGTTTCAATTAATTATGTTTATATAATTAATCAATGTGATATTTTTTTTTTCTAACCTCAATTTATTTATTAATACTGAGATTTTTAAATAAACAAAGATATTTTAATAATTTGATAGCATTTCTTGACAATTTTTGTTTCTTTTATAATTGAGTCAAACGAGCTTGTACACTAGCTAGTCCCTTAATAGTTACATTAAAAACAAAAAATTCTTACTCTTCAATTATCTTTTGCTTAAAACATTAGTAATTTCGTTTTCAGGCGGCAGTTGGTTGGAAAATTGATACAAGAAATTTAATAACAATTAATGGTCCTAAAGTTACGTTAGAGCAGATATATATATAGCTTTTTAACTTTGACCATTTCATCTGGATCACTGAAATTCTTTAATTGCTTTTTCCTGTTTGATAACCAAACTTAATTCTTTTCAAATTTGACCCAACCATAATTTCACATATATATTCTTCTACTATCACTGATTTTATCATTAGTTGAACTCGGAATGCTGACATACATGACTTTAATTCAACTCAAAATAACAAAACTAATCTTTGTAAAAAGGATTAATATCTAAAACATTGTAAAATTCATAATAAATTCAAGAGAGTCCACATTCCACAAGCCTCTTGATAAATTCAATCAAGAGAATAAAATAATGATTAAAAAAAAGAATATCTAATAATAATAAACCTAACTAGCTATTATATTTATTTTTGTAATTACGTGTAATTTATTTGAATGAACTATACTTAAGGATTTTACATACACTCTTTAAAAATACTTTTTAAAGTTAAAAGACACTTTGAAAATTTAAGAATGAATGATGAGATTTTTTTTTAAAATTACAAAAAAAAAAAGTGTCTAGATCTAGAAGCTAGGAAATTGAATTAAAAAAATCAATCTTAAAAATGAAAAAAAAAAGTTTCTGGTTCAAAAAAATGTTGTGATTCAATTAATAATAGGGAGAATATTACTGTTCCATTCCATAAATGATTGAAGTTGAGTCTCTGTCTACCAATTATAAAAGAGGTTTCATTTTCTCCCTCTCACTCCAATGAACCACGATTGATATATGTAAGTATATAATAAAAAAATAAAATTAAAATTTACATGTAATGTAACATTACTGGACGTCGAAAGCCTAAACCACACCTCCGCTGATATTTTTGTGGTTTTTCGTTTTTCATGCTGCAAATAGCACTCATTGCCTAAGTTGCTAGCACGTACCCTGCACGACCTTTGTTTGATTTTGACTGATGTCACTTTTACATCAACAATTTCTTTTCCATTTTTAGCTTGACAGGTTATATAAATATGTCATTGTTAAATTCAATTATTACTGTAATAATAATATAATATATGTTGCTCATGGCCACGTATTCATATTCAGATAATTATATGAAATTCATTAAAATTTTATATAAAAATTATATTTATAAATAATATATTTTTATATTATTTTTTGTTATAATTAAATAATTATATGATTATAATAAAAAAATTTATAAATGAAATGCTCAAATTTAATGCATAGATAGAGCTGATTTGAAATTGTAATTAGAGTCACGTTTACTATTTAAGCTTGAGCCCAACTGGAAGAAAGACCAGAGATCCATTCAAATTGAATGCTGCTATGTCAATACTGAGGTTCGGTTAGAAGCCTACGAATGTAAGAAAACTAAAGAACAAATTTCTGGATGGGCTGTAACAGGTCATTTTCAAAATTATGGTTGCCCAAATCCATGTCTCCCTCCAATTTTTTTTCTTTTTCTGTGCTCGTCTTTTGATATTGAATAACTATTCCTATAATAATTTAAGAGGAGCGATTGATTTAAATACTATAATTTTTTAAAATTTAAATTATTAGTTTTATTATTTTTAAAAAATAAAATGAAATTATATTTATTTATTTTTTAAATTTATTAAAATTAATAATTAAAAAATATATAAAATATAAAATTATACTGTATAAATTAATTCTTTAATTTAATCTCCATAAAGCAATTAGCATTTGTCTATTTGCTAATGAAGAAAAAGTTTACTTTTAATTAATATGCAATTTAGAGTATATTATCTTGTTTCTTGATTGCATTTATTTAATTTACAAATTAAATACTAATTCAATTAAAATATCACCCAAAATTTCATTATTTTGAAAAACATAAACGTTACATCATCAATTAATCTTTTTATTTTATTTTATTTTAAAAATTATACATTAATAAATAACATACAAAATCGAAGTATCCGTTAATCAATTTTACTTGCGATGCACGCCTTAAGTGACCACCGTGTGCCTTGAACGACATTGTTTTATCTTTATTTTATTTTGGAATAACAATAAGGCCCCTGTAACGAAATAACTGCAGAAACGGCATCTTCAAGTCTTCTTAAGAAAAAAATATGTTTTTTTAAAAGGCTCAAGCGCTATTCCAAAATTACCAATAATATTTTGATTTGATAGTGGCAGAGATCTAGCTTGTAAACGTCTAATTATAACTACGCCGAATTTCATCGCCGCCGTCTGATAATCTCCCTTGCTGGTGCATGGAAGGGCTGTGGATCCATCTGTAGGGCACGATTTTCAATTTATTCATAACTAATGGCTTCGTGGCTCAAAGCCGCAGAAGGTATGGCTCTTCTCTCTCAGTTTATTTCAACCTCCATTTTTTTTTTTGTTTTTAGTTTTTCCACTTTAAAATTTTTAATTGAATTTTGAAGGTCTGATTCTGATCTTAAGCTTTGAATCATTAAATCATAACCAATTGGAATTAAACTTGAGATTTGAATGGATTAGGCCGCTTAGTTTAATTTTTTTCGTTTACTTTTTAATTTACTTGTAATTTGCTAGGTATAAACTAAAGAGCAAGAAGATTTTAGTTTTTTTCCCCTAAAACTAAGAGATCTATTTTGTATTTGGCCATTGACAGTAATTGAAGTAAATAGTGAACGGCAGTTAGGCTTAATCTAGATATGTGATGGGGGACTATGGCATGTTTCTTCATTCGAGGAAATTTAGAATTACTAGTTGCCTTTATGCAAGGGAATTTGCTTTTGTAAGATTTTTGGAGTGTGCAATTTGGATCCTAGTTTTGGTTAATTATTGGCTATTCTTGATAGTGCCAATGGCAGGAATCTATTTACAGTAAGCAAGAGTTGAGTCGATGTTATTTGATTGTTATAAGCAAACATTCATTAGCAAAGGGATTACTGGATGAAATTGACATTATGGCATGGGTATTGATATTATTATTATTTTGGTTGTTTTTCGGTTTTTATGAAATTCCAAGTCCGAGAATGTTTGTTTATAACAATCGTTTGTGTAATTAGATAAGAAATCTTGAGCAGTTTTCTAGTAAGTAGAGCTGTATTTAATAGATAACTTTTGATATGGTGAATGATAGGACTCTATATTAGGGGTAGGTTTTGATGCTGTTGATATGGTTTTTAAAATTCCTGTACGGGAAGTTATTTTGCATCCATGTTAGAGAATTTCAATATCACTTGGAAGTCTCAATGTTTTCCTTTCCATAGAAAAATAAAAATTTCAAACTAAAACTATTGCTTTTTATTTGAATCTTGAGGCCTTCTCTAGGGAGTTGGTAACAGAAAGTCCCTGCATTTGTTTGTTGGCAGTGAGTTCATAAATCTTCTTCATCTATTTTACCTGCTGCATTTTGATTTTTCATATATTGCTGTAATTTTTTTGTTCCTTCTTTTATTTAAATATTTTGTATAAACAGTCTATGTAAAGGTATGCAAGGGGTGACATTGATATCATCTGAACCTTTAGCGCTTTTGGAAAGTCTCTAAGGACTTACCATGTTCTCTTGCTCCTTATTGTTCAATATTTTAACTGTTGCTCTAGGCAATGCTGGCCATCCATCAGTAAAAGCAGCATTCAAAATTCCTTCTATATGATTTGTGAATAATTGAAGGTAAATCACTATTTTGGACCAGATTTATTCGAAGTTGTAGATCGAAGAGCAAAGCTGGTTGTTAGTGAACTGTCAGAAGAGCAATCTGATTCTCAGTTAGAAGGTAAGGATGTCAAAATCTAGGGGTTATTTGTAGGCATAAATCAATGTGAAAAATGTGGTTAGGCATCTTTGTACATTTTCTATTCTTGGTTATATATCAACAAGAGTGTTAATCTAATGGAGAGACTAAAGTTATAAAAGTCTGTTTGTCGATTATGAGATTATGCCTTAGTAGCAATTCAAATGGCCATTTCATATTCGGATCATTTGCTTAGTCAGATAAAAATCAATATGTAGATATTCCTTTTAATATCAAGCCGACATGAACCTCAGTTTAGCATTCTTTACTAGCCATTTATTATCTATACTTGCACCAATATAACAATTGCCTCGAATATTAGAGTTTGGCTGTACTTAATAATAGCATGCAGGATCCTTAATTCTTACTTTTCTCATTTCTTTTGGAAATTAAGTGAAATTCTTATCAGAAACTTGATGATATCTTGAATTTTCTTTCCCGAAGATGGGAAAATCAGATATTTCAAGCTTCATAGTAATCAGGTTCTAATAATTTTGTTGAATAGAAATATTAAAAACGTGAAAACTATAATATCAGCATGAATTCTGAGGTGAAAAATAAAATTTAATTTAGTCCAATATTCTTGTTTTAGAGGTTTATTATAATAACACCAAGCTATCTTCTTTTTTGTTTCTGAATTACAATCTCAGCTGCTTCTCTCTCTCTCTCTCTCAAACGCACACACAAACACATATCTTTCCCCCTTTTAATTGTAAAGCTTCTAATGTGCAAGGTTCTTCAGAAAAAAAGACAAAGTCAAGGACAAAGGTATTACAAGCATACAACCTCGAATTAGCTTTAATTGTATTCATTTCAAGTAAATATATTCATAAAAACAAATTTAATTGGGTGGTTTTTCTTGTTTGCAGGCTCAAAAAAGACTTTCTACAACTAAATCTCCCAAACCTAGTGATACTGTACGTGAACACAAAAGTTCAGAAGGGTTACAATCAGATGTAACACCTGAGAAAGATAAGGGTACTCTTTCTTCTGACAATGAGGGAAACCCTAGTGCTAAGTCTATGGTCCAGACAAGTAGTGATCTGTATAGCAACAATGAGAAAGATAACCCTAGAATTCCTTCATCTGAGGCATTGGACACTGATCTGGTTAAACATGATTCTGATCAGGAAGAAGTCTCTGCAATTGTTCGCAATGCAGAAGCTTCATTGTCAACTTCAAATGGGGAGCTTCTCAATGAGAATGCTTCTGATGTTCATGTGGAGCACCCTCCTTCACCGGTAGCTGCCAAAGATATTGAGGTTCTTAGTGAAGATCATTTAACTGATGGTAGGCAAAATATTGAATCCCAAAGTGCAGATGTTCCTTCAAAGACTCACCAAGAGAGGTCACAACCTGTAGCTGCTGATTCTCCTGTTAACACTGAAGCTCAATTAAATGAAGATGATGTTAAAGTTGAAACTCCTGTGAATCAAAAGAAGCCACATGAGCAAAATTCTGATACTCCTCCAACGATAGTCCAGGACCAACTAGATGAGGTGACAAATACACTCAAGCTGTAATTACAGTTGATGTCCTTGAATCTTCTCATGCACCTTCCATCAAAAGCTTTATTCACTAGTCCTTCAGTTTTTTCCAGGCTCAAGGACTGCTTAAAACCACCAATTCCACTGGTCAATCAAAAGAGGCAAGGCTAGCTCGGGTAAGCTCTCTGAATCTATTGGTTTTCCTGTTTCAGACGAATATTGAGACTAAGTGGTATACAAAGAAGTAGGTGTCATTTTTATGTACTGCTTTTAGAAAAGAAGAGTTCTGTATCTGACCATAAGGGATACGTGAGTGGGATGGTAAATGATGGAGTGACCCTGATATAATTTTGTTGTGAATAAGAATAAGCTGCACCCTTGGGATGAAATCATCATGTCTGTTTCTTTTTCTTGAAATCTGTTAATGGGTTATTTAAGCATCTAATTTGTTGTTGTTGTTATGACTTGATGTGAATCATATTTGTGTCCATCCAGCAGCCGGGCAGAAACTTGAGAACTGTTCTGTTAAATGCATGGAAATCTCATTTAAAAAAATTATTCTCACGAAAAGAGTAAACTTTAGATTGTATCAGCTGAACTTGCAAATGAGTGGGACTGTTTTTTGTGCCTCCTAAGTAATCACTCGCAGATTAGACATTTTGCTGCTTTTTCCTTCTTTTTCTGTTTGTTTGTGAATTTTGTAATTTGGCATTCATAGCAAATTGTTCTACATTGATTCCTAGGTTTGTGCTGGACTGTCATCCCGTCTTCAAGAATATAAATCTGAGAATGCACAGCTTGAGGAGCTTCTAATTGCTGAGGTAAGTTATTATATCCTTTTTCTCCTTTTGGATATATTTTCAAGTTATAGTCATGCTTGTTATCATGGATGCTGTTTAAGGAATACTATTTACTAAATTGATCCCCTGACAGAGAGAGCTGAGTAAGTCTTATGAGGCTCGTATAAAACAACTACAGCAAGATTTATCTGTATCTAAGAGTGAAGTAACAAGGGTAGAGTCAAATATGGTTGAGGCTTTGGCAGCAAAGAACTCTGAGATTGAGGCACTTGTCAAGTCTATGGATGCACTTAAGAAACAAGCTGCTTTATCTGAAGGAAATCTGGCATCACTGCAGGTTGGACTCTAAACGATATTCAGTTATTGTTGGTTATAAACCCCCTGTTTTCCAAGCTATATCTTACATAAAATGTGGTTTCTATTTAATATCTCATCTAAATGAATTAATTTAGTTTCTAATGAGAAGTTTATTTTCTAGAAGGCCTTGTTACTGACTGAAATAATAACAGCAACAATTGTCAAGATTGCATGCGATATACATAGCAGCTTTCAATTATGTGATTTAGTGGGTGAGTTTATGTGGTTTAGCTTAAAAAAATAGTTCCTATCATTACAAATTCTGTATATCTGACTATTAATAGCTTTATAAGCAAAATAGAAAGATATAGATCCTGCCACTTACTTCTGTTAGTCATGCTTTTGTCATGATAGAGAAACCTAAGGAGCTTATTTCATGTCCCTTATAACAAAAACTCAGACTATTCATGAGTTCCTGTTAAACTGCTAAGCAAATTGTAATATGCATGACTGCTTTTGTATCCCTCTCCTATATAGTATTTGCTCCTTTATTTTGCCTCTACATTTAAACATTCTCCCTCTCTCTCTCTCTCTCCATCTCTCTATCCTATGGGCAATCAATATGTGCTGTTGACTTGTGCCTTTTGATCATTTGAGGTTTGTTAATACTTTTGATTGCATACCATCAGGCAAACATGGAGTCTGTTATGAGAAACAGGGAATTGACAGAGACGAGGATGATGCAGGTAAACTAAATGGTTCTTTCTTGCTTGCTCACGCATTTGTATTCACACACACACACACACAATATTGTTTCATTATGAGCTTGTTAATCTATTTGTTTGCATCTTTCTTAGGCCCTACGTGAGGAGTTGGCTTCTGCAGAAAGGAGAGCAGAAGAAGAACGTGCAGCACATAATGCTACCAAAATGGTCCATATTTGGAACATTGATATATTTACTTTTTGTTGTTATCTTGCAGTCTAATAATCTCTATTTTTTGGAACAGGCTGCTATAGAAAGGGAAGTTGAATTGGAACATCGAGCTGTTGAGGCATCTGCAGCTCTTGCTAGGATCCAGGTAATGTAAGGATTCTTTGTTTTTGATCCCATGGCCAAATCAGCACCTAACTTGCATGCATAATATTCTTGTTTTGCTTGATAATCAAGTAACTTAGTGATGCATATTCAATACATTTTTCAGTTGAATGTACTATTAACCTTTTAAATTTTGCCTATTCCTCATTCTTTTTTAAGTGGATATCAGCTGGTTCAAGTTAATGCCTTGATGTGGTAGAAATTTTGCATTAATATCTGTTTGGTGAAGTTATGTCAACATTTTGAATTTCTAAATATGGTTATGCAGGAAAATATCATTTGCAAACATATTCACATTTTTATTCCTTGTTTGGAATTTCTTTCTTGGCAAAGTAAGGTTACTAAGATAAATATGTGATTGCAATGGTTGATCAGATGTTTGTCTTTTGAATTCTTGGGATTCTGGTGTCTCGATATGATGTATAACCTGGTATACCTGCACAATCTTATTTGCCATGACTCTTTCTCTGAGAAAAGGTGGAAAATCAATGTTTACTGGATTATGGATCTGCATGAGTATCAAATGCTAAAGTGGCAAAAAGGAGCAATCCACTTGAATTTGATAATCAGGATGCAGTAATCTTAATACTCCTCATTTTTTTGTTTCATATTTACTAATCTAGGAGTTTTAATGCCGACTGTTCTCTTATTGCTATAAAAATTTATTACATATCCTTCATAGTTGCTAAACTTGTTTAGAATTGCCCTATTTATGAGTTTACTGACATTAGTTTCACCATTATGGTGCCATATCTTCGTTATTTTAATTTAGTCTCCATCAATTTTTCTTTTAAATTAAAAATAACTGTCTGTCCTGTAGTTAGTATGTCATCTAAAGTTTGAATTTCAATTCCCTACCCCTAGGGTTACTTTCATGTTCTCTCCCCCATTTCAGAAACATCAAGCTGGTTAGTTAAATATATATATTGCATCAAACCATAGTTTTGGAATATCTATGCCCACAATGCAAACTGAGCATAACTAATGCAACAGAACAATGGCTACATTATTGCTATGTTTACTTAAAGTATACTATCCAGTTTGGTGCTAAGTTCACTTCAAAGTTGGTAAACAGAAGCTTTCATTGAATTTCTGTAACTTTGACATATGCATCTGTAAGTGTGTGCTAGGGGACATCCAGCTGGAATAATATAGAAAATAGAAGAAACAGTTAGGATCAAAACCGGTGCCTCTTCCTTATTCAGCACAGCAAGTTGTACATTGATCATTTGGCTTCTGTATATGTTTCAACAAGCATTGTAAATTGCTGCTTGTTTCTTTGTCCAGAGGGTTGCAGATGAGAGGACAACAAAAGCTGCAGAGCTTGAGCAGAAGGTGGCACTTCTTGAGGTATATAAACAAACTGATAACAATGCTTTTGTATGAAAGTTTGTCTTTTTGGCTAAGCTAAATATGAAGTGAAAAGCCTCTTGAAATTAATCAGATATGATAACAGGTAGAATGCGCATCTCTAAATCAAGAATTGCAAGATATGGAAGCTCGAGCTCGTCGTGAACAAAAGAAGTCCCCTGAAGAAGCAAATCAAATGGTTCAGGTAAATATGACGGGGATGTAACTGTTTGAACTCTATCTGGCAAATGACATTTTTAACCATTTCCATTCAGCCGGAGTTTGCTATAAAAAGCTTCGTACTTATTTGATCCCAATGCATCACCGTAATCTACTGGGATGTGGGTTTCTTTGTCATTAAGAACATTCTGAAGTTCAACAGTTCAAAATACATTTAATATCTAGTTACAGGCATAACCTGTGGCCTTTAGCTGTTGCACCAACTGTAATAACTGTAAAAGGCAATGACTTAAAGATGGTGATATCAGATGCAAGCATGGCATGAGGAAGTGGAGCATGCACGGCGAGGTCAAAGAGATGCTGAGAGCAAGCTCTCTTCGCTAGAGGCAAGTATCAAAATTTTTTTCTTGCCTAATACGGTTATCTTTGTACAATTATAGTAAGGCTATTCTGGTTTCAATTGCTAGCTGATTCATGGATTTGTTTTCTGTGACCAATTTTTCTGGCTGTAGGCTGAAGTACAGAAAATGAGGGTTGAAGTGGCTGCCATGAAGAGGGATGCTGAGCATTATTCACGCCAGGTAACTGTTCAAATTTATTCATCATCTTTTTTCTTTCTTTAATCAAACACATAAATGCATACGCCTTGATCAGAAATGAAGGTATAGCTTTATCGATGGTATTATTGCTGCTAAGTTGCAAGCATTTATTGTAGTGACTGCTGAACTTAGTAGAGCCTTAACTTTAATTGCTTGTCTGCTTTATGTAGCTGCGTGCCAGTTGTCAAGTTACATGGCCATGTTCTCTTGTATGTTTGGGTTCAACCAACACCTCAAAGTTATCAGATCTTATTGTGTATGCCTAATCATTATGGAACAATCTGTCTTTGTTGTATTCTTGGCTTGAATGTGTTTGCTCTTCCCTTAAAGTTGTCATATACTCATTTATTCACATGAAACATACTGGAGTTCTTGGGCCAAGTTTCCTGAAAATTTTAGCTGTAGAAAACATCTATGGCATGCCCTCCGTTGAAGTTGTATTGAGACACCCCATATATGTTCTCTATCAAAATATGCAGATGAAGAGAAAATTCCTGAACTAGAAGCCGTGGCACTGAGTTACTGTTGTTGATCTGTGACGTCTTAAATTTTCTTGCTCCTGTCTGAAAATGTGATGGAATTTAGTTCAGTTGTTTTCTATATGCAAATTTATTAAGTATATTTCTTCATGGTACGTTCTTTCCATGTTGTAAATCCCCCCAAGCATTGCCTTATTGATGTTGATGCCTTCTATCAGGAGCATATGGAGCTAGAGAAACGCTACCGAGAACTAACTGATCTATTGGTAATACAAACTGAGATTTACTTTTTCTTATAAATCTATTTGTTTGTGCTGACTTCTTGTGGCTACACCATTATGTAGTACTACAAGCAAACACAGTTAGAAACTATGGCTAGTGAAAAAGCTGCAGCTGAGTTCCAGTTGGAGAAGGAAATAAAGCGTCTTCAAGAAGCACAGGTTTATTGATTTCTGTGCTGTAAGACTGATTATCTATTTCTTGTTATAACTAATGGTATTCAATATCCCTGTTTTGCCTTTGATGCTACTATTATAATCAACAGGTTGAAGTAGAAAGAAGTAGAGTTCCTCATCGGGCATCATCTTCCTGGGAGGAAGACACTGAAATCAAAGCACTTGAGTATGTTAAGCTTCTTTTGTTTTATTAGATTAGAACCTTGCACCTTTTCTCTGCAAGTTTTAGCATCTTACTGAGAATATTGAGATACATGGTCATTATTAGCTAGCAGGAATTTATATTACCTTCTCTTTTGAGATCTGATTATGTGATTTGTGAAATTCAGTTGTATTTGATTGAATTTGTATCTATTATATGTTCTGCAGAACCATCTAATGTTGCAAGTGTTGTTTTGGCTCAATTAGATTTCCTGATACGATTATTTACGTACATCTATCCTTTGGATAAAAGTATGAAATACTATAGCAGAAGTTAGCAGCATGTTTGGAATGAATTGCTGTGGTTGCAACCGAAACATTTACATTCCTATAGTATCTAACATTTCGTATAAGGAGAGCATCATGGGTGCAACCTTGAGCACAATGAGAGAAAAGTGCAATATTATGTATCTGTCATGACCATCTAGAACATCTGAATTCTCACGTTTGTATGAAGGGAGAAAAAGTAAAGAGAAAGGAGGGGAAAAACAGAAATTCTTTGTGAGCCTGTAGTCTGTGGACCTGAATCACCATTTATTAACTATATGAGCTAATTTTTTTGTGATACATCGGCCATTGTTCATGCATTGCTTCTTGTGTTGTAATGCCTTAAAATTAGAACAACACTCTTTGTACAATTTTTAGGCTTTGATGCTTGTGATTGAGGTATTCTTTTGGCTTTTCCTCAAAATATCTTTTCTCCCTAGCACTGTTATGAAGTAAATCAATGTGAAACAAAAATGAAAACAGATATTAGTACCCGTCCTTCCTACATGCTCATTGGGTCCCCTGCATGAATATTTTGCTTCCTCTTAATTCACTGAGGTGGTTAGTGGTTACTTTTGATCTTTTCAAAATTTCCTTATCAGGTTAATAATTGCAGGCCTCTTCCTTTGCATCACCGACAGATGGCTGCTGCAAACATACAGGTATTCCATTCTTATATCCAAAACCAACTTACTATCCCATTTATTTGTTCTGACTCATGTATCAACCTGCCGCATGCAGTTACAGAAGGTCGCAAAATTCCTGGATTCAGGGGCAGTCAGGGCCACAAGATTTCTTTGGCGATATCCAATAGCTCGAATAATCTTGCTATTCTATCTTGTAAGAACAGTTTCACCTTGTCTTTATTGAAATATGTTATGGAAAGGATTAAATTCTAAAATAACCATTTGGAAAAAATATGCAGGTGTTTGTACATCTCTTTTTGATGTATTTGTTGCATCGCCTTCAGGTGTGTCTATCTGAATATTTGCACTATTACCTTATGAATGGTTGATTGTAGGAATCCATTCACAAAAAGAGAAAAATTACTATTTGTATGAAAATTTTTTTCTAACTTCAGGCCAAGGATGCTGTATCGTACATCACTAAATTATTATGTTAAATGTGGCGTGTAGGAACAAGCGGACAATTTTGCTGCTAGGGAACTCGCAGAATCTATGGGTCTTGCCAACCCTAACTTACCATAATTGGGCAAAATGCCCCAGGTCGGCCGACGGAGAGTTCTCCAAATATGTGATTTAATATTTAATATCTGCAAGGTTGTATATTCAAGTTTCTTTTGCAGGTTTATATGCAATGATCCAAGAACTGATCAAGAAGTATGAAGCTATAGAAGATGCATATAGCGGAAGTCAATCACTCCCATTCTGGATATGCAAATATTCTTGGGAGCAAATACTGCAGATTGGAACTACTAGCAAAACTAGATTTTGATGCATTTATGAAATTAAGATGCATCAAGCGGCTGCTAACTGTCCAATGTCGATATACTACCATTTTTACATAAATTTGATTTTTGAAACGAGAATGGCAAAATCAGAAATGAGAAGCTGCATGTTGTAGAATGCAGATCCAAAGTCATTATCATGTGAAGCAAATATTCTTTTATATGCATACAGGTAATTGTGGAATCCTAACTTTTGCTTTTGACCTGTTCTTAACGTCGTAGAGTGGAAGTTCTGGAATATACATGTATGTGAAACTTAACTTTAACTAAGTAATATTATACTATGTTTGGATGAAAAGGGAAAGAAAGAAAAGACAAATAAAGAAAGCAATGGAAATAAAAAAATTTTTTTATTTGGATAAAATTTTAATTTTAAAAAATAAATATTTAATAATATTTAATTTATTAATAATTTTTATTTTTTTAATATCTTAATTTGAGGAAAAAGTTAAAAAAAAGTTGAAATTTTTTTTTATATAAAAAAATTATTATATTTATTTTTATATTAATATTAAAACTTTAGTAAAAAAACTAATCATATCACAGTTTTTTGTAATTTTTTAAAGTTATTTTTTTAAACAAATTTTACATGTTTTTTTCAATAAAAAAATTATTGATATAATAATAATCATACGATCAGATAAAATAATAAATATATGAATTTTAAAATCATAAATAATAAATTATTATAATTAAAAAAATTATTATAATAAATTATTTTTTTCACTTTTTATCAAAATAATGTTTGTTAAAATTTTTTTTATTAATATTTATTCAAATATTGCGTTAACGCGGTTACTTTCAACATCGGAATTGGACACCTTTAGATCATCTCATTGCTGAATGATATAAAGGGTAGATGCATATGCAAACATCTTTTTCTTTTTTTCCTTTTATTAGCTAATAAAAAAGAAAAGTTGACAATTATAACTCGAATCTTGACTTTTATTGAAAGTATCTTTTCCCTCACTTAGTGCTTAAATTGTGGTCTGCTTTAAAAGAATCTTTGACTTTTTTTATCGTAAAAAAAATATATGTACAATGGTATTGGTTTTTTTTTGTTTTTTGTTAAAAAAAATATATATATATATAGGAATATTTTATTTTTATGAATTATATTAAAGTGACTTTGTTTTCATACACGGTGATCAGATAAGATGCTAGAATCGATTTTATCTTTAAATTACTTATTTGTATAATTTTAATGATAATTTTATTTTTAATACTACTATAATACTAGTATTTTACTTCTAACATTGTTAAAAATGGAAATTAAGAAAACTTTTTTATGGAAATGAAAATTAAGAAATAAAAGAAAGTTTATAATGATAAAATTTTCATATCATTTAAATTTGTTTATAAAATAAAAATTCTACCCATGAGAAATTGGTTAATGATCCTTTTACATTTTTCGTTTTTTGGTTACTATGCTTTTACTTTAATAGAGAACGCACTCCCATGTCTCTTTGCCTCTCTAAAACAAAAGGATTTGTTATGAGGTACGAAATCTTACTTCCCCACGAAGGTAGAACCATATAAATCTTTTAATATCAGTTGTGAAAGTGGTCACATTTGAGCTATAAAAGCCTTTACTGGTGAAAGTGTTTTTTTTTTTTTTTTTCCATTTATTTTTTTCCTGGAATATTCGCTGCCTTTTTGCATCAGCACATCTATCGATCATTCATCACATTCCAGCAATCATAAAGTAAAAAAAGTGTTAAAATGATAACTTGTAAGTTTAGAATTGCAGACTAGACCGAATAATTGTTGTAGATAAAATTTACTTATGGTCTTTATTTTTTATTTTTAGTTATATTTTAGTCCATAACTTTTAAATTGTTTTATTTTATTAAAATTGACGTATTATTTATAACATTTCGACTTCCGATCCTAAGTGTAATATTTTTACTACAATAATCTTATGTTGAGATATTACAATATTTTATTAGTATGAACAAACAACAAATTCCATTTCCTGTACAAATTAGAAACACTCTAATTTTTCTCTTGATTCTATCTTTTTCATTTTCTCATTTTTCTTATCTTTCACTTTGCCTCCTCTCTGACACCACCCTACTCTGTTGCACGTCACCTCTTGACACCACTCACCACCGAAAACAATCTCTGTTTACATTGGGTGAGACGACCAAAACAAAGAAATTTCAACCGAGTATTTATTTATTTATTTTTGCTTTAGTTAGAAGTGTGTTCCGATTAAATCCTGATCCGAATAGTGAGTCAATAACAAATCGAACGGCTCACTCTTTAGATAGCACGATAAAAGTATCGCTCTTTAACCCTTTTTGAATTTTGACACCAAAGTTTGCTTCTTCTTTTTTTTTTCTTAAATTAATTAGTTTGTATCGTACTAAAAGTCTACACTTCCCTCCCTATTCTTGTCCTATCACACTGCAAACGATCACTTCAGAAAGAAGAAAAGGCTTTCACTTTCCATTTCAAAACAAATTACTACTACTGTATAAACTTGTGTTCTTTCAAAACTCAAGCTCGAGATTGTTTTAGGATCAGTTTGATCAATGGAGAGTAATTTTCATGAGGCCATTGCTTTACCTCAAACGGTCGAAGCAGCAATATCTAGAATCTGTCGTGAGCAAAATCAACGGCCACTTGCCAACTCCACGAGATGTGCTCTAGCTAAAATAGGTGAAGAAGAAGCTTTAAGAATACTAGAGACAATTCAACGGTCGAGAATTCATTCTTCGTTTGATGGATTTGTTTTTTATATAATACGAAACGAAGGATACAACGGGTCTCCTCAAAAACGGCCAAGTCCTTCTACTCAAATAAACCGGAGCCCCCAATCTTCTCCAGTTAAAGCTTGCCGACTTATGATGGATTCTCAAGGTTACCTCTCTCTCTCTATAAAGCAATGAAGGTTTTTTTTTTTTTTTTAATTTAAGGCATTGTTTTGATTTTTTTTCCCTTTTTTGGATTTTTGGTTTTATAGTTACTTTAAGGGGAGATGATGATGTTATTCAGACCCCAGTTACTCCTGCTTTGAATTTTGCATCAAACGTCGTCGTAGAAGAAAAGTTTAGTCCACAGTTGATGGCTTTGGGGGAGCTTGAGTTTAGAAAAGCGTTCCTCATTTTAAGTTACATTGGCTTGTAAGTGTTTCCAATGAACCTATCCTTTAAACAACTTTTGCCTTTTTTTTAAGTAAAAAAAAAAAAAAAGTTGATATTTTTTTCCAACCGTTTAACTACAGGGAGAGGTTGGAAGAAGTAACTACTGCTGATAAAATTCGAAGATTAAAAGATTTGGCCATGGATAAGTTTGAGGAGGAGGTCTGGGTTTCTCTGGGCCAACAGTATATCACTCCGGCTGATCGTCGGAAGGTAGCATAACGTGTTTTTAACCATATTCTGAATTATGTTACATGCTAATGTCTGAGTAAAACGGAATTTTGAAAAAAATGTTACGAAGTTTGTATCAACTAAGATTTTTCCCACCAATAGATTTTAATTTTCAGCTTGTTGTCTCTGGAATGCAAGGATGTCTCGAAAGTTTGGAATGTGTATTAGACCACTCACTCATATGGGCATTACTCCCTTGCCTGTGATGATTTATGCAATTGATTATTTTCTGTTTTTTGTCATTCCCCCTCACCATTATGTTCCCTTGTCTTGCAGTCACTTGAGTGGGAGTCTGGAAAGACGTACGAGTACCATTGTCATGTCTCTGAAAATGGGAGTTGTAGGTTCAAGGTAAATTGGGAATTGCAGTTTCAAGGTTCTTACATTTCCTTGATTTTGTTCGTACATTTATGTTAACTTACATTGAAAGGACAGAAGGTTTGAGTTAAATGTATTGACGCTAGTAGAAACAAATATCAGATGGTGTGGACAGCTTTATGAGGCCACTGCAGGCAGTGAAATACGATTTTTCTCAATTTTAAGCCTATCTCTCAAACATGCCACTCTCATATTGTATATCATGAATGTTAATGCATGGTTATAGGGATCTATTATGAGATTACAAAGATTAAATAAATTTTTATGGTAGTGCATGGGATAGAGATCTATCATGAGATTGGGATTTTAGCACATGTGATGCATCTACTCCAAGTGTGTATTTGTTAATTGCTTACTTTCACTAGCTTTGAATCCTGATTTATAGTCTTGGCTGTATTAATCTCATATAATGTTTGTGATTCTCTTCCTAAACGGTGCTTGAGTCCCCTGATCTGACTTTCTAGGGTGGTGGACACACTCCAAATCAACAATCTCCAAGATGTGGAAGGATTCACATATAATTTGCTAATTCTGATTTGATACTTTCCTGATAATTCATTTATTAATGCTATTATGACTCTTTTACTGAAAAAGACAGAGGTGGTGACTTAAACATGAGATAACAAGAATCTATAATCTTTTTCTACACCCCAAACCACTTAAAATTTCTTTTACTAAGCTTTCATGCTTTTTTAATTTAACAATAAATATGCTGCTGGTAGCAGTTTCCATATTGAAACCTTTGCTAACAGTTTTAGTTATCTTGTTTGTCTTTCTTTTTTTACTGTTCTCATCAAATAGGAAAATTAATTAGGTCAGTCCTATTAAGCCTTTCCACATAAATTCCTTCTTTATTGTATCAGTCTTTTGTGTTATCTTTATTACTGGATAACACTTTAATTTTTGTGGTGGCGGTGGGTGACACTCTTTTCACCTATCATAAAATCAATTACTTCAATTTGGTTCCTTGATTGTATAAAAAGTTTTAAATTTGAGTTTTTTTATTCTTACACTTGAAAGGAATTGCTTCAAATAGTAATTATATTATCTTGGCATTTATACATTTTATGTAACTTTGAAGCTATTTTCCCTCTTTTAAATTTAAAGTTATCACTTTTGTGCTCTGTTCTTAGTACTTTATGAGTAACTGGTCTCTTCGAGATTAAGCTATATTATTTTTAAGGTTCCATAAACATCAGTAACCTAAAGTGCATTGTTTATTGATTATTATTTAGCATTAATTTTCTTTTATAATATTTTCCTCCATTTTATTTTATTTTTTATGTTCTTATTGTCTTGAATGTGTTATGACTTTGATGTGCTTATTTTCAGGGTCCTTATATGGACAAGACTAGTAGAAGTCACTTACAAAGGGTTTTAGGAGATGATAATGTTCTGATCGTAAAGTTTGCAAATGCCACAGATGGTAAAAGTTCAGCTGACAATGATTGTTTTGCTGAGTACAGCAAAATTGCGAAAAGAGGAATCCTTGTTGGTTTGCGTCGTTACCGGTTTTTTGGTTAGTCTTCTACACCACACTCTTGTAATGATGAATTTTTCATTTGGTTTTCTTGTTTGTCCTTTTGTAACATTTATACTTGTTATTCCAACATACATCAATATTGTCTGTTCAAGCCAACATGTAAGGTGATAGGTTTTATCGTCTCAGCTAGCAGTATGCATCTCTGAATGTATTTTAGGCATGCATGTCCCTGATGTGCACCTCTGCTAGAGTGGAGGAAAGCTTGATATGTCTGCTGAGTTGTATCTTTTGTTCTTGTCTTACTAATGAGAATAGTCTGCGTTGTTCGGTTCGTTGATTTAGGTTTTTTATTCAACTTGTCTCAGAGAATTAGCACAAAGCAATGCGGCAAGAGCTGTTTTTAAACCATGAATTGGTTCATTGCTTTTCTACAATCTTACTTGATAGTTTCCCTATTTTAATGGTGGTGAAATGTATCTTTGGTTTATTTATTTTTAACTATGCCATTCCCTAATTTTTGTCTTTATGATAATTAGGATGATTGGTTGCAACAAATAGGGGTTTCAATCCCTTACAGATTTGGGGTTTTCGTTCCATTATGGTGCTGGGTGTTTGAGGTTCTATGTGCATGAAAGAAAGGATTGATCTTATTTTCCAGGTTGCAGCTTTGTGTGGATGTCCTGAGTCCTGACTTCTACGTACATATTTGTTTCTTTCATCTGTAACATGTCAGTTATTGAGGATCCTGTGCTTCTCTTTTTTTTTTTTTTTGGTACCCTTATAACATGGAAAGAATTTTTTAATACCTGACTTCTTGGGAATGGCTTTGAATATGCACTGACTTGTAGGATGTGTTGACTTAATATATTCAACAGCATCATCTGTTCCTAACTTTTATGAATGACAAACTAGTTTTTTTTTTTTTTTTTTTTAATTTTTTTATCCCAAATATGCTGAATTTTCAGTGTTCAAGGATGGAGGCAAAGAAGCAAGAAAGAAAGACCCAACTTCCTCATCTGTTAAGTGCTTATTTGTTCGATTTGAGTCTGATGCATCTGTTGATGATGGTAAAGATTATGTTCTATCTGGGAAGACAGTTCAAGAAGCCAGATGTGTGTTTATGCATGTCCATACCCTGTCAAATATAGCCAAGTATATGGTCAGGTCAGTGATAATAAGAATCTGCATGTTTCTTTTATTCCTTTAAATTTCTTAGACTTTTTTTGAGAGGCATTCTTAAGGTTGTTTGTTTATAATTTAATTTTCTTTGGGCTATAGATTTTCGCTAATCTTGTCCAAGACCATGAAGCTGGAAGTTAATTTAGCTGATGTAAATTTTGACCCGATAGAAGATATACAATGCCAGGTATGATATATGGATTTAAGTTTTGATTAAAAATCATCTTGTCTCCCTTCTTTACAGCTTTTTTCTTGTGTTTTTCTTTCTGAGTTTTAAATTTGATATTATATATATTATATATATTGCAGGATAAAGATGGAAATTCTGTTTGTAAAAAAGACGGGGAACCTTGTATTCAAACGGATGGAACTGGTTATATATCAGAGGATTTGGCTTTGAATTGCCCAAAGAACGTTTTCAAAGGAAGCATTGTGAATGGTGACATTGTTGAGGTTGGTGATTGGGGGCTTGATTTACTACTCGTTATACAATTGGTTAGAGATGAAAGTATTGCACATTATTTGCCTAATAATTCATCTTCTTGGTGTGCACAACAACAAAAAAGAGTTTGATATATGTAAACCTGAAACAGCTTTTTCACTTAAACTCCAGTTTATGGAATTGCTTAAACTTGACAAGGTTTGAGATATTATTGATGGTCATGCTTGTTATGTCTTGGTAATTTTAAAAGGCACATATTCCAACTATTTGTTTGTCATTTAGTTCTTTGTGGTATTCATGTTTTCCTTTCCATTTATATTTCTTATCCTAATATCATAAATTTCTTAACCTTTAGGGGAAGTTTTCAGGCATGAATTCGACAGAAGCTCACCATAGGGTACCGGTGTGTGCATTTAACAACTCAGTGGTGCTTTCTTTGCTAAATCTTATCTATTGATTATCATTCTTTTCTTTATTTTCTTTCTAGCCTCTGCTGATCCAGTTCCGCCTTTTTAACAATGGTTCTGCTGTGAAGGGAACCTTACTTGTCAATAAAAAGGTATATTTTGTCATTTCAATGTTTGAGAAATTATAAAAAAGATGAATTTTCCTTTTAATTGGAATAAACTTACACAATCCAAAATGTCCCTACTTGAAATGAGAATTGATGATTAGTTCTTTGTAGTAGTTCCAGTAGAGGACAGTGCTAATTAAATTAATTCTGGAACAGATTGCTTAAAATTTTGGGGAAAGGTGGAATAGATGGAGAACACATTACAGATATTAGCCTGATTCAATTTGTTGTAACAGTTATTGCATCAGAGAATCTAGTTTTGTGCAGTCAGTCTAATACAATTTGATATTGGAATTGATAACACCTCAAATGCCATATTTCCCTTAAATTATTTATTAGTTAATCTTATATATTTTTATTGTTGTCTAGGATCATAACAACTGTGAGTAAGATATTTTTGTTGGCTAATAATTTCTGAATGCTTTGTTAAAAGCTGCATGCTTATAATAATTCCAAATTTTGTAGCTTCCACCCAGAACCATTCAGGTTCGGCCTTCCATGACTAAAGTTAAGTCAGATCCAAATCTATCAAACATCTGCACGAGGAATTCTTTGGAAGTAGTTGCAACAAGGTACATGACATCGTGCAGTTTGTTTAATTTCTGTTTAATATATTTGTATATCACATAGTTCATTTTTTCTTAAATCACTTGATAATTGCTAATTGAATGTGTACTGGGTTCAATATGGAAGAGATAAGTTGAGGGGGTGGAGGAGGGGGATGGGGAGCCTAAACATTCTAGAGCTTAAATGAATCTCCTAAAATGAAAATAAAGGGAAATAAGTGAAAGGAAAATAAGGAAAAGGATAAATCTCTCATTTGTATTATTCTTTATGCACATGTCTGTCTAAATATCCGTTGAATAGATAAAATTAGATGAACAAATTTTGGGCAAACTATGGGAGCTAAAGGCCTTTCTCTCCAGCAAATTTGGATGGGATGCCCATTCCCAGTTATTGGGTCACTCTAGTGCTGATATCTCCAACATAATTTATGGACACGGAGCCTCAGTTTGAAGCCAATGACTTTACAGCACTTTAAAGTTTTGACTTCCTTAAAACTTAACAGCAGAGCATGAGATTGTGCTTTAGAAGTTGAAAGTGTGATTGAAGAATAATTTGGTGCATGTTATTGTTGCTGAAATCAATCTTCCAGCACCAATAAGACATTTCCTGCATACTGTTATAAGCCAATGCCCAAGTGAAGGTGTAAAATTTCTTTTATTTTTGACTTGATTTTGATGAATTTGGTTTTGCTGAGATTGATTTACCTTGAGAAATTTGATGCCCTGTGAGCACTTTATTGTATTATTTCATTGCATTTTAGCATGATGTTTTTGTGTTATCTCCTGCAGCAATAAGCCAAAGAAGACTTCTCTTTCTAGGAATTTGATTGTGCTTCTTTGCCATGGAGGTGTCCCGGATGACTTTTTTATGGGCTTATTGAAGAATGCACTGGAAGAGTCACAAGGTGTTTTCTCCAATAAACGTGCAGCACTTAAAGGTAGGTTTATTAACTTCTACATGACAATAACTTCAAGCATTTTAGAAAAAATTTGTCCCTCTCGCTCCCTCCATCTAATTTTTATTTTGAAGATTATACTACCTTAATGTGAACATATTATATTCTTTTAGAAATACTGTAATACTTTAATATATATATATATATATATATTTGCTTTTATTGGCTTTGCATGATCGCCTTCGAAATTGGTTGACATATCTTGTCTCATTCATGCTTCTTTGCTTTATCTGGTATCTCTCAATGATCTCATCACCTTTTGAATTGATCTTCGTAACTATCACATGCAGTTTCTCTTAACCGTGGTGGCATGGATGATCTTAGTGCAGCAAAAATGATTTTATCAGGGATTCCCCTTGATGAATCATATTTGCAATATCGGATGTCAATAATGTTAAATGAAGAAAGGAAGGGTCTCCTAGGAGGCAAACTTCCTATCACCGAGTCTTATTATTTAATGGGTACTGTTGATCCATCTGGAGTCCTAGAAAGTGATGAAGTCTGCATTATATTGTACGTAAGTTGGGGTTTTTTGTTATTCTTGTCATTTTGTTTGTGATGGTGACATAAAAAATAATTACAATTTTGAACTGCATTATTTAAAGATGCCATTATGGAATATGTTTTCAATAGAAAATGTAGAAGTTGATATGCACAATTACATCAGCCAGTATATGCTGCAAAGTTAACTAGCAATTTTCAAGTCTTAGCTACAAGTTTGCAAGCTGGAATATTATACCTAATCGTAGCATATGGTTTAACGTGTAATGTTTGCTATTCTATTATGCTTATGTGCATGTTGAAAGGGAGTGAAAATGGGAAGCTTTACATCTGTGCACATAGGCGCATTTATTATGGCACATATTATGAGGACACCCCTAATATCATCTGTCTCCATGTTTCTCATTTATTGGACTTTTAATTTTATAGCAAGTTGAAATTTGGGTTATTTTATTATACATTGAAACATTATAAGGTCTATGATGCATAAGAGGAAGGAATATTGTTTGGGTCCCCTTTGCTTGAACTTGTTTACTATTTGTATTAGTTAATTTGTTGATATTGTCTCAACTATTTTGGGCAGAATTAACTTTTGCATTAATGGTTGGATGTTGTGTTGTCTTCTCGGATGATATGTGTAGGGATAATGGACAGATTTCTGGGAAAGTTCTAGTGTTCCGCCAACCTGGTGTACATTTTGGAGATATACATGTTCTAAATGCTAGATATGTGGAATCCTTGGAGGAATTTGTAGGACTTGCCAAATATGCTATATTCTTTCCCTGTAAAGGCCCACGCTCTTTGGCTGATGAGATGGCTGGGGGTGATTTTGATGGTGATATGTATTTTGTATCAAGAAATCCCCAGGTTGGATTTATTTTGAATTAGTTTCTACTAGTTCAAGAGTTTATTTATCTTATCTTTTTTTTTTCCTCTTTTCTTCAGTCTATAGCTGCCCTAGTCGCTACCCTTATTGATCTTTCCTTTTAATAGATGGTCAAATGGGTAACCAACTTGTTTCTATCTTCATTTCAATATATTTTTGTATTCTTGCACTTACTTCAACTGGATGCATTCATTAACTTCAGTATATGCCGAAAGGTGATATCTAATTTGGTCTTTACTTCACTCTTCTATCTTCTTACAAATGAATTTACTTGAATGCCTTTACATTCCTATATGGTTGGTTGTAGTTACTGTCAACAGCATTTTGTATTGGCCTAGGTGTCAACAGCATTCTTAGAGATCATGCATGGAATGGATATTGATTATTTAGGGAAACTTTTAACTATTTCTTGTCCTACTTATTTGACATTAGCATTTAAGAGACATGTTCAATTGGTAGTATTGCCATTGTACTTTAAATTGCAATGTATGTATGTATGTATGTATGTATGTATGTATGCATGCATGAAGACTCTCTTTCTCTCCTGTGCAGAAATACATGCAATAATTTTAAGTGGACTTGCCAACAATAATTTTTCTATTATGTAGGGATATTTCTGATTCTTCAAACTCTGCACTACTCCTATGTCTATTTGGTTATTTTTGCCTAATGTTTTCGCTGCTAAATTTGAATGGGATGTTTGGCTTACCCTTCAAACAAGAGGAATCTTGTTTTTAATTAGATTGTAGTTTGATGTTTTGGAGATATCCAATTGAATTTGAATGTTGTACATTAAATTGTAGGTTGCATCTGTATTTGGCATTATTTTGATGTTTTCTTAGACTAGCTCTACTAATTGTTGTATTGTCTTCAGTTATTGGATTACTACAGAGTGAGTGAACCTTGGATAGAAAATTCTTCTACTTGTGGAGTGTCCAGTAAAGGACCAAGTGAGCTCTCAGATGGGGAGCCGGAGGATGAGCTCTTCAAATTATTCTTGAGAACTAGGTTTCAGCCAAGGTAATCACTTTAGTGTATTCCTTAATAACATTTTGTTTTCATTAGTAAGAGGGAAGACCCCCGATTTGGAATGTTAACAACTGTGAAAGAATGAGTTGATATTTGCTTGAATTATATTGTGTCACTGCTTATTACATTCCTTTTTGAACAATTAATATAAATCAAACTCTTATAAGTAGAATTTCCTTTTTATCTGAAGTTATGTAAAAGAAACTAGGTTTTTTTCATTTTTCTTCTTAAGTTCCTCAGAACTAGTACCTTCTTCTGAGAAAAGACTCGGTTGCTTTGCTTGCTTCACATCTCAGCAAATACTTTTGAGGTCATCAAAAGTGTCTTTCAGTCTTATCAAATGATATGCCAGACTAGAAGTCCATATTGAGGTCATTTTGTGGTATGCTATTAACTTGTTTGCATACTTGATAACAGCTATGAGGTGGCAACTTGGTCAGGGATCTCCTGGTTTTGGTTTCTAATGTCTCTGGTGTATGGTGGTGTTCTTTGGGTACTGGGTAGTCCTAACATCATATTAGTTATTGTTTTTGGTTCTGATGTAAAGGTGCCTTTGGCTGCTTTCAGTTATGCCATGAGTATTGCAGCTGATAATTGGCTTGCAATAATGGATCGCTTTCTTACAATAGAAGATAGTAACTCTTCTGAGAAAGCTCTTATGAAGAAAAACCTGCTACAATTGATTGATTTATACTACCAGGCTCTGGATGCACCAAAGACAGGAAAAAAGGTTAGCTTGTTAACTTTTTCAAGGGATTGAGATGGTTGATATTTGGCCCACATATATGTCATTCTTTTTTAAGTGAAGTCAATGACAGCATTCTCATCTGTCAATGGTGAGCTATTGATTTGAAGAACTTGTGACTTGACTGGTTGATTGTTAACTAAAGCAGAAAGATGAATGTGAAATCCACAGGAGATGATTGCATCTTTTTATGGTTTTTCTGCTGTAAACTATATGTTTGCGTGAATAAGTATTTTTATTACTTTTGTATGTTTTTGACCTCCAAAGATATTTTACTTAAAACTGATTGTTGCTATCTTGAAATTTGGTGTAACCATTTTCTCCTACTACCAAATAGGTTGAAGTTCCAGATGACTTGAGAGTAGCTGTATTTCCTCATTATATGGAACGGGAAAATTCTTTCAAATCTACTTCCATATTGGGGAAAATGTATGATTTTGTCAAATCATATGGAGAAGAAATGTCGAGGAAAGGTAAAGGTTATCTTGATCAAAATTGAAGCTGTATGTGTTATTTGACTTAAAGAGCATTTTGTTAAAGCACCTTTCCTAGTTTTATGTTTTGTGCTATTATGGAATAAGTGAATGGCCATAATGTGTTTGTCTTATCCTATTCAGAAGTTCGAAAGCTCCCTTGTTTCGATGTTGGCTTTCCTGAAGATTGCCGAGAAAAGTGGACTGAACTGTATAAGCAGTACAGGAAGGACATGACGCATGCCCTGGATGGCAAGAGCAAAGAAATGAAAGAAGAGGCTGCTAATGCAGTTTATAACGAATACAAAGAGGTGATTGTTACGTTTTGCATTTGTACATTGCCTCTTCCCTGTTAGCATAGAAGTCATTCTGCTCAATAAGACACGTTCTGATTCTTTTTACTCTTGTGGTTTAGAAATTGTACGGAGCTACAGAATTCGAGCAGAGACAAAGGCCTCTAGATCAAATCTATAAAGAGGCTCTTGCCATTTATAACATTTCATATGATTATGCTATTACAATAGACGACGTGAGGAAATGTGTATTTGCTTGGAAAGTTGCAGGCTCAGCCCTCTTAAGTCTGTATGCCTTGGAACAGGGCGAAATGACATTGTCATGTGCACCTTCTGTTTTAAAAGAGCTCTTTGCTTGAAGTAATGTCTTTTGTTATTGGCTAATAGCATATAGTTTCAAACTTTTAAGTTAAAAGAAACGTAATATAATGTACAATATGTAGTTTATCATCTCCCTGAAGTATATGGTTGATGGTTTTTTTTTTTTTTTTAATTGTGGATGAAAGCCCTCAAAATCTCGTGGCTCAATTAGATGTTCTCATACGATTATTTGCATACATCTCTCCTTTGGATAAAAGAATGAAATACTTTAGCAGATGTCAGCAGCATGCTTGGAGTGAATTGGTTTGGTTGCAACCAGAAATATTTACTTTTCCGTAGCAATGTAGCCGTTATGACGAGTTAGAACATCTGAAATCTCATTCTTTTGTATGAAGGGATAAAAAGCTCTTCGTGAGACTATTGTTTGTGGTGGTTGAATCATCCATTTAGTGACACTATGAGCTCATTTTTTGTTGATACCTCGACCATTGTTCTTGCATTGCTTCTTGGGTTGTAAATTATAATGCCTTCAATTTAGAACAACACTCTTCAATCCTGATGCAATATTCAGGCTTTAACGCTTGTGATTGAATTCCTTTTCGGCTTGCCCTGCCCCTATCCTTTCTCTCTAGTACTTATATGAAGTAAAAAAAAAATGAAAAAAAATGAAAAGTGATGTGGAATGATCCAATAACGCATTGAAGAAGATGCATACAGGAGAAAATCAGTCGGTCCCATTCTGGATATATGCAAATATGTTGGGAAAATGTTGATATTGGGAGCAAATACTGCAGATTGGAACTACTAGCAAAACCAGATTTGGTGTATTTAAGAAATTTAGATGCATCAAGCAGCTGTTAACTGTCCACCGTCGACATTTTTACATGAACTGGAAATTCCTTAATGAAACGGGGAATGACAAAATCAGAAATGAGAAGCAGCATGCTGTAGAATGTAGATCCAAAATCTAAATCGAAACCATTCTCCTGTGAATGAAATATTCTTAGATACGGGTGCTTTTTTTTAAAGCACTTTTTGTTCCCTTAGTGCTTAAGTGATGGCGGCTTATTGGTTCTAACTAAAGAATGTACTTGGTTTCCTCTAGGTTGTCTCGTTTGTTGATTTCACAAAAACTACTTAGGTCATGCCAATTGTCTTTCCAAAGAAGTAAATGAATCAAACCATCTTTCGATACCCAAAATCAAACATTTTAAAATGGTTGCCTACTTCCCTACCTGAACTATAATGTTGTGTGTAATAGCATATTGTTTTAAACTTTCCAAGTTAAGAAGAAACGTAATAGAATGTGTATATATATGTGTAGTTTATCATCTCCCACATATACAAGTTTTTTCCTTTAAATTGTGGGGAAGCTCTGAAAATGTCGATTTTTTTTTTTGCGGAAATGTGAAAATAAGTGGGAGAAGGAAATAAAGCAATGAGATGGATCTGCATTCTACAACATGCTGCTTCTCATTTCTGATTTTGCCTTTCCCGTTTCAGAAATCAAATTTATGTATGTACAGCATTAAAGCAATCCAAAAGCAAGGACAAAAGCAAAGTACATGCATTAAAGCAAAGACATTCTCATTGCATTAATGGAAATATAGTCAGCATGTTGTAGAATGCAGATCCAAAGTCATTCTTTTATATACAAACATTAATATTATTATTATTATTATTAATGTGGTTGCTTTCAACATCAATATTGGACACCTTCAGATCATCTCATTGCCGAAAAATATAAAGAGCACATGCATATGCAAACATCTTTTTTTTCTTTTTTTGGTCCTTTTATTAGCTAATAAAGAAGAAAAGTGGACAATTATAATTCGAATCTTGACCTTTTTTGAAAGTATCTTCTCCTTTACTTAGTTCTTAAGTTTTGTCTGGTTTTAAAAACTCTTGACTTATTTTTTTCATAAAAATATTTCTAGAAATAAAAATATATTTACAATGGTATTTTTTTGTTAAGAAAATAAAATAAAATATAGGAAAAATTTTGCTTTTATCAATTATATTAAAGTGATTTTGTTGTCATATATGGTAATAGGATAAGATGCTTGAATAGATTTTATCTTTAAATTACTTATTTGTATAATTTTAATGATAATTTTATTTTTTAATAGTAATATAATACAAGTATTTTGCTTATAACATTGTTAAAAATGAAAATTTAGAGAACTGTTTCATGGAAGTGAAAATTAAGAAATAAAAGGAAGTTTATAATAATAAAATTTTCATATTAGAGTACGTACTCCAATGTCTCTTTGTCTTTCTTTTTTTTTTTTTTTTTTTCTAAGCAATCTTTTTGCCTCTTAAAACATAGTATTTGTTATGAGATAAGAAATCTTACTTCCCCACGAAGGTAGATCCATATAAATCTTTTAATACCAGTTGTGAAAGTGGAGCTATAAAAGCCTTTACAGGTGAAATTGTTCTTTTTTTTTTTTTTTTGTCTGGAAAATTTGCTGAATCTGCAAGCAAAGGCATCAGCACATCTATTGATCATTCAACAGATTCCAGCAATCACACAGTAAAAAAGTGTGTTAAAATGATAACTCGAATGTTTGGAATTTCAACAAGACCAAATAATTGTTGTAGATAAATTTTGCTTATGGTCCTTTTTTTTTAAGTTACATTTTAGTCCATAATTTTTAAATTGTTCTAGGCGTAATATTTACCAGTTGTATTAAAATTGACGTATTATTTATAAAATTACTCGAATAATTGTTGAGATATTACAATATTTTATTAGTATGAACAAACAGCAAATGCTATTTCCTGTACGTTCACAAACACTCTAATTTTTCTCTGAGATTCTATCATTTTCATTCTCTCAAATTTTCTCTTCTTCGATTTGCCTCCACCGCCAAAAACAATCTCGATTTATACGTTTAAGTCGATGAGACAACCAAAAAAGAAGAAATTTCAACCAATTATTTATTTATTTTTGCTTTATTTAAAGTGTTAAAAATTTGTTCCGATTAATTCTTACCTTGATCAGAGGGTCAGCAACAAATCCAACGGCTCACTTATGAGAGAGCACGATAAAAGTATCGCTCTTTAACCCCTTTAGAATTTTGATACCAAAGCTTTCTTCTTCTTCTTTTCTTCTTCTTCTTTTTAATTTAATTAGTATGTATATTAGTTCCCTCCCTCTTCTTGGCCGATCGCCCTTCAAACGATCAAATCAGAAAGAGAAAGAAAGAAGAAAAGCCTTCCACTTTCCGTTTCAAAAGAAATTACTACTACTATATAAACTTGTGTTCTTTCGAGTTGTTTTAAGAACAATTTGATCAACGGAGAGTAATTTTCATGAGGACGTAGCTTTACCTCGAACGGTCGAAGAAGCAATATCCATAATCTTTCGTGAGTAAAATCAACAGCCACTTACCAACTCCACGAGATGTGCTCTAGCTAAAAAAGGTGAAGAAGCAGCTTTAAGAATACTAGAGACAATTCAACGGTCGACAATCCGTTATTCATTTGATGGATTTGTTATTTATATGATACGAAACGAACGTAACAACGGCTCTCCTCAAAAACGGCCAAGTCCTTCTTCTTCTCATGTAAACTGGAGCCCCCTTTCTTCTCCGGTTAAAACTAGCCGACATATAATGGATTCTCTAGGTTATCTCTCTCTATCTCTCTCTCTTTATAAAGCAATGATGGGTTTTTTATTTAATGCATTGTTATGATTTTTTCCCCTTTTTTTGGATTTTTGGTTTTATAGTTAATTTAAGGGGAGATGATGATGTTATTCAGACCCCAATCGCTCCTGCTTTGAATTTTGCATCAAACGTCGTCGTAGAAGAAAAGTTTAGTTCACAGTTGATGGCTTTGGGGGAGCTTGAGTTTAGAAAAGCGTTCCTTGTTTTAAGTTACATTGGCTCGTAAGTGTTTTCAATGTACCTATCCTTTAAACAAGTTTTGGCTTTTTTTAAGTAAAATAAAAAAAAAAAAGTTGATATTTTTTTCTTGGCCGTTTAACTACAGGGAGAGGTTGGAAGAAGTAACTACTGCTGATAAAATTCGAAGATTAAAAGATTTGGCCATGGATAAGTTTGAGGAAGAGGTCTGGGTTTCTCTGGGCCGACAGTATGTCACTCCGGCTGATCGTCGTAAGGTAGCATAACGTGTTTTTAACCATATTCTGAATTATGTTACATGCTAACGTCTGAGTAAAACGGAATTTTGAAAAAAAATGTTACGAAGTTTGTATCAACTAAGATTTTTCCCATCAATAGATTTTAATTTTCAGCCTGTTGTCTCTGGAATGCAAGGATGTCTCAAAAGTTTGGAATGTTGTTATTAGACCACTCACTCATATGGCATTACTCCCTTGCCTGTGATGATTTATGCAATTGATTATTTTCTGTTTTTTGTCCTTCCCCCTCACCCTTATGTTCCCTTGTCTTGCAGTCACTTGAGTGGGAGTCTGGAAAGACGTACGAATACCATTGTCATGTCTCTGAAAATGGGAGTTGTAGGTTCAAGGTAAATTGGGAATTGCAGCTTCAAGGTTCTTACATTTCCTTGATTTTGTTCTTACATTTAATTTGGTTAGTCCTATTAAGCCTTTCCACATAAATTCCTTCTTTATTGTATCAGTCTTTTGTCTTATCTTTATTACTGGATAACACTTTTATTTTTGAGGTGGAGTGGGGTGACACTCTTTTCACCTACCATAAAATCAAATACTTCAATTTGGTTCCTTGATTGTATAAAAAGTTTTAAATTTGACTTTTTTTATTCTTACACTTAAAGGAATTGCTGCAAATAGTAATTATATTATCTAAGCATGCACGCATTTTACGTACTTTGAAGCTAGTTTCCCTCTTTTAAATTTGAAGTTATAACTTTTGTGCTCTGTTCTTACTACTTTATGAGTAATCGGTCTCTTGGAGATGAAGCTACATTATTTTTAAGGTTCCACAAACATCGGTAACCTAAAGTGTATTGCTTATTAATTATTTTTTAGCATTAATTTTCTTTTATAATATTTTCCCTCCATTTTATTTTATATTTTTTTATGTTCTTATTGTCTTGAATGTATTATGGTTTTGATGTGCTTATTTTCAGGGTCCTTATGTGGACAAGACTAGTAGAACTCACTTACAAAGGGTTTTAGGAGATGATAATGTTCTGATCGTAAAGTTTGCAAGCGTCTCGGATGGTAAAAGTTCAGGTGACAATGATTGTTTTGCTGAGTACAGCAAAATTGCGAAAAGAGGAATCCTTGTTGGTTTGCGTTGTTACCGGTTTTTTGGTTAGTCTTCTACACCACACTCTTTTAATGATGAATTTTTCATTCGGTGTTCTTTTTTGTCGTTTCGTATCATTTATAATTGTTATTCCAGCATCATCAATATTGTCTGTTCAAGGAAGCCAACATGTAAGGTGATTGGTTTTATATTCTCAGCTAGCAGTATGCATCTCTGAATGTATTTTAGGCACACATATCCCTGATGTGCGCCTCTGCCAGAGTGGAGGGAAGCTTGATCTGTCTGCTGAGTTGTATCTCTTGTTCTTGTCTTACTAATGAGAATTGTAGAAATCTGATTCTTTTATATTAGTGCAATTCTTTTATATTACCGCAGATCTCATTGTTTTATGTTAGTGTAACTTGATTTTTTAATTTATTTTGAGAATATTTCTCATTTATTCTTTTGATTTAGTTAATTATTTCGACTATTAAGTTTTTAAGGATTTGTTTCTATTCTAGAATAAAATAATTTTCTTTGCTTTTATTATTTTTTATTTTCTGTTCCATGTAAGTTGCTTTCTAATAAAGAACTTTATTGTTCCTATTTATTTAGATGTACTCCTTCGTTGTAGATTGAATAAGAAGAAGTAAGTACAATTGTTCTTTAAGTTTTCTATATGTTATCAGAGCAAGTTAGCCTGAACCATTAGACTGTAACCACATGAGTTTCTATTATGGCTAGCAGGAGTGATAACTCTTTTTCTATAAAGGTATGGCATGAGAAAAGTCACAAAGAGGTGATGCTCCAACAAACCTTTCAAAACAAGTCTGCAACCTTTGAAACTAGTTTACTAGCACAAAAAGGTAACTTTCTAAATGCTATAAGTGTTCAACAGGGAAATACACAATTTTGGATTGTTGATTCAGGAGCATTAGATTATATGACTGGAGATGTATCCTTATTCAACACATATAGAGCTTGCTATGATAGTTTTGCTATAAAAATTGCCGATGGCTCTCTTTCAAAGGTGGCAGGAATAGGTTCTATTGTAGTTATGAAAGACATAACACTCGACTCTATCCTCCATGTCCTTAATTTAAGCTGTAACCTACTTTCCATCAGTAAATTTATGAAGGATAGATGTTGTGTCACTAAATTTTTTCCCAACTTGTGTGAAATTCAAGAATTGGGCTTGGGGAGGATTATTGGTAGTGCTAGGATGTGTGAAGGGCTCTACCTTCTTCAAGATGATGCACTTGAGAGATCACAAAACTCTTGTACAACCTTAGCCTCTAGTACTAGTAAGGATGACATTATCATGTTATGGCATTATAGATTAGGACATCCAAATATTTCATACCTAAAAAGGCTATTTATGTCATTATTAAATAACATCTCTAAAGATTTTCAATGTGAAATTTGTCAACTTTTCAAGCACACCTGAAATACCTACCCTAGTTTTTCCTATAAATCATCTCAGCCTTTCTCAATGATTCACAGTGACATTTGGGTACCATCAAGAGTTAACAATATCACTGGTTCTAGGTGGTTTGTTACATTCATTGATGATCATACTCAACTCACTTGGGTATTCCTTATCTGAGATTAGTCAAATCTTTTAAAACTCCAATAGCATGGTACAAACCCAATTCCAAGCCAAAATCCAAGTCTTAAAAACTGACAATGGAAGGGAATAGTTCAACTCTGTGCTTGGCCCTTACCTTACCAATTATGGCATTATCCATCAAAGCTTTTGCGTTGACATTCTATAACAAAATAGGGTTACCGAACATGAAAACAAACATTTGATAGAAGTGATTAGATCTCTCTTGTTGACTTCCAATGTGCCTAAATATTTTTGGGGAGAAGTTGTTCTCACTGCAACCTATTTGGTTAACCGAATGTCTTCTCGAGTTCTTGGCTTTAAAACACCATGTCAAACTCTCTTTGCTTCTTACCCACAAACTTGGTTGATCTCTTCCATTCCCATCAAACTCTTTGGTTTCATTGCCTTTGTTCATATTAGCCAACAAAACTACAACAAGCTTGATCCCAACGCCTTAAAATGCATATTCCTTGATTATTCCCTAAACTAAAAGGGTTATAGGTGTTACTCACCCATCACAAAAAAATTCTATAGCTCTATGGATGTGACCTTCTTTGAGAAGCTTCCATACTACAACAAGAATGATATTTAGGGGGGGAATACTACTCAGGAATATCAATTCTTAGCTATTGACTTGCCAATTTCCCAACCAACCCCTTCAAAACCATATTCCCAACTAGCCGCTTTAAAACTAGAATCTCAACCAGCCATTTCAAAACCAGATTCTCAACCTACCCAATGTATCAGCCATGCAGATTATGAAACCCAACCTGTTCAGACAACTCTTGACTCTATAAACCTTAAGATTATGCAAGAAAAAACAAAAGAACTGATACTCTACTCAAGGAAGCAAAAACCATAGGAAGAAATGGACAATTTTACCTAGCCTAGCATTAAAAATCAACCTAATTTGAGTCTCCAAGAACCTAAAACCAACACAGGTAATGTCCCTATTGAATCTGAAATTGAAACTTTTGAGCCAGCTGGTGACCTTGACATTCTTATTACATTAAAAAAAGGTGTGAGATCATGCACCCAATACCCTATCTGCAATTACATCTTATATGACAAGTTAAATCCAAACTTTGAGCCTTTACTTTCAAAAAAATATTCAGGAAGCCCTTAATGAACCAAATTGGAAGGTAATAGTTCTTGAAGAAATCAAGGCATTAGAGAAAAATAGGACATGGGAAATTTCAGATTTTCCTAAAGGAAAAAACCCGGTTGGATGTAAGTGGATCTTCATAATAAAGCACAATGTAGATGGAAGTATAAACAGGTTCAAAGCTAGACTTGTTGCAAAGGGGTTCATTCAATCCTATGGGATAGACTATGAGAAGACATTTGCTCTGGTAGCCAAATTCAATTCAATTAGATTTTTACTGTCACTAGCAGCCAACTTGGATTGGTCTCTTCGCCAACTTGATATCAAGAATACATTCTTACATGGTGACTTGGAAAAGGATGTCTAAATGGAAATTCTACCTGGTTTTGAAAGGCAAGACAACATGGGCAAAGTGTTCAAACTCTGAGAATCTTTGTATGGATTTAAACAGTCTTCTTGGGCTTGGTTTGAACGGTTGACCAAGGCAATGAAGAGGTATGGATTCTTTCAATGTCAATATGATCATACTGTGTTTGTTAAGTTTACTAATGAAGGAAAAAGAGTTATTCTTATTGTTTATGTGGATGATATCATAATCACCGGAGACCACAAGGAAAGAATAGATGATTTGAGGAGACTCTTTGCAAAGGAATTTGAAATAAAGGACTTAGGGTTCCTTAAATATTTCCTTGGAATGGAAGTGGCTCATTATAAGAATGGAATATCAGTATCTCAGCGTAAGTATGTACTTGATCTACTCAAAGAAACCGGTATGATTGGGTGCAAACCTACTGATACACCCATAGACTTAACTAATAAAATTGGAAGTGAAAATGGAAGCTCTCTCACTGACAAAGGGCGATACCAAAGACTAGTTGGGAAGTTTATTTACCTCTCTCACACATGACTTGATATCGGGTTTACAGTAGGGATGGTGAGTAGATACATGAATAATCCAATTAAGGAGCATCTTAAGGCTATTCATCGCATCCTATAAGTACTTAAAAAGGAGTCCTGGTGAAGGTTTATATTTTAAGAAGTCAATGGACAGGGCAGTCGAGGTGTATACAGATGCTGACTGGGCTAGATTAGTAACAAATAGAAAGTCCACTACTGGATATTGCACTTATGTTTGGGAAATTTTGGTCACTTGGAGAAGTAAAAAGCAAGCTGTTGTATCTAGGAGCAATGTTGAGGCTGAGTTTAGCGCAATGTCCCATGGTATTTGTGAAGAAATTTGGCTGATGAGGTTTGTTGGAGAACTAAAAGTTCAAACTGTGACATCTATGACACTATTTTGTGATAATAATGCTACTATAAGTATTGTCAAAAATCCTATTTATCATGATAGGATCAAGCACATACAGCTAGACCTACATTTCATAAAGGAAAAGATAGAAAATGGGTCGGTCAAACTGGCCTATATCCCTACAAGTTCACAAATTGCAGATATTCTAATTAAAGCTCTTCCTAGAAGATTTTTTATGGTTTGAAATTCAAGCTGAGTATGATTAACATTTATAATTCAGCTTGATGGTAAGTGTAGAAGTCTGATTCTCCCACATTAGTGCAACTTAATTTTTTAATTTATTTTGAAAATATTTCTCATTTACTTTCTGATTTGATAAACTATTCTGATTTTCAAGTTTTTTGAGATTTTTTTTTAATTTTTAATTTTTTGTTTCATGTAAGTTACTTCCTAATAAGAAACTTCATTGTTCCTATTTATTTATATGAACTTCTTCATTGTAGATTGAATAAGAAGAAATAAGAACAATTGTTCTTTTAAGTTTTCCACAAGAATAGTCTGCGTCTTCCAGTTTGTTGATTTAGGTTTTTTATTCAACTTGTCTTAGAGAATTAGCACAAAACAATGCGGCGAAAGCTGTTTTTAACCCATGAATTGGTTCTTTGCTTTTCTACAATCTTACTTGATAGTTTCCCTAATTTAATGGTGGTGAAACGTATCATTCATTTATTTATTCTTACCTATGCCACTTCCTAGTTTTTGTCTTTATGATAATTAGGATGATCAATTTCAACAACTAGGGGTTTCAATCCTTTACAGATTTAGGGGTTTTGTTCCATTTTAGTGCTGGGTGCTTGAGGTTCTATGTGCGTGAAAGAAAGGATTGATCTTATTTTCTAGGTTGCAGCTTTGCGTGGATGTCCTGACTTGTACACACATATTTATTTCCTTCATCTGTAAAATGTCTGTTATTGAGGATCCTGTGCTTCTCATTTTTTTGGTACACCTATAACAGGGAAAGAATTTTGAATACCCGACTTCCAGGGAATGGCTTTGAATATGCACCAACTTGTACGATGTGTTGACTTAATATATTCAACACCTATGATATCATCTGTTCCTAACTTTTAAGAATGGCAAATTAGGTTTTTTTTTTTATGCCAAATATGCTGAATTTTCAGTGTTCAATGGAGGCAAAAAAGCAAGAAAGAAAGACCCAACTTCCTCATCTGTTAGGTGCTTATTTGTTCGATTCGAGTCAGATGCATCTGTTGATGATGGTAAAGATTATGTTTTATCTGGGAAAACAATTCAAGAAGCCAGACGTGTGTTTATGCATGTCCATACCCTCTCAAATATAGCCAAGTATATGGCCAGGTCAGTGATAATAAGAATCTGCATGTTTCTTTTATTCCTTTAAATTTCTTGGACTTCTTTTGAGAGGCATTCTTAAGGTTGATTGTTTATAACTTAATAGGCTTCCTTTTCCTTGGGCTATAGATTTTCACTAATCTTGTCAACAACCATGAAGCTGGAAGTTGATTTAGCTGATGTAAATGTTGACACGATAGAAGATATACAATGCCAGGTATGATATATGGATTTAAGTTTTGAATAAAAATCATCTTGTCTCCCTTCTTAACAGCTTGTTTCTTGTGTTTTCTTTATGAGTTTTTAATTTGATATTTTATCAAATATATATATATATATATATGCATATATATTGCAGGACAAAGATGGAAATTCTGTTTGTAATAAAGACGGGGAACCTTGCATTCACACAGATGGAACTGGTTATATATCAGAGGATTTGGCTTTGAAATGCCCAAAGAATGTTTTTGAAGGAAGCATTGTGAATGGTGACAATGTTGAGGTTGGTGATTTGGGGCTTGATTTGCTACTCGTTTTACGTTTAGTTAGAGATGAAAGTATGTGCATTATTTGCCCAATGATTAATCTTTCCGGTGTGAACCAAAAAAAAAAAGAAAAAGAAAAGAGTTTGACATATGTAAATCTGAAACAACATTTTCAATAAAACTTCATTTTATGGAATTGCTTAAACTTGATAAGGTTTGAGATATTATGGATGGTCATGCTTTTTATGTCTAGGTAATTTTAAAAGGCATGGTTTCCAACTATTCCTTTTTCATTTAGTCCTTTGTGGTACTATTTGTCAATTTTATTCTTGTTTTCCTTTCCATTTATATTTCTTATCTTAATAACATAAATTTCTTAACCTTTAGGGGAAGTTTTCGGGCATGAATTCGACAGAATCTGACCATAGGGTACCGGTATGTGCATTTAACAACTCAGTGTTGCTTTCTTTGCTAAATTTTATCCATTGATTATCATTCCTTTCTTTTTTTTTTTTAATAGCCTTTGCTGATCCAGTTCCGCCTCTTTAACAATGGTTCTGCTGTGAAGGGAACCTTACTTGTCAATAAAAAGGTATATTTTTGTCATTTTCAATGTTTGAGAAATTATAAAAAGGAAAAATTTCCCTTTAATTAGAATAACTTACATAATCCAAAATGTCCATGCTTGAAATGAGAATTGATGATTAGTTCTTTGTAGGAGTAGTTCCAGTTGAAGGCAGTGCTAATTAAATTAATTCTGGAACAGATTGTGTAAAATTTTGGGGAAAGGTGGAATATATGGAGAACACATTGCAGATATTAGCCTGATTCAATTAGTTGTAAAAGTTATTACATCAGGGAATCTAGTTTTGTGTAGTCAATCTAATGCAATTCGATATTGGAATTGATACCACCTCAAATGCCATATTTCTTTGAAAATATTTATTGGTCAATCTTATACATTTTTGTTGTTGCCTAGGATCCTAACAACTGTGAGGAACATATTTTTGTTGGCTAATAATTTCTGAATGCGTTTTTAAAAGCTGCATGCTTATAATAATTCCAAATTTTGTAGCTTCCACCTAGAACCATTGAGATACGGCCTTCCATGATTAAAGTTAAGTCAGATCCAAATCTGTCAAATATCTGCACAAGGAATACATTGGAAGTAGTTGCAACAAGGTACTTGCCATCGTGCAGTTTGTGTAATTTCCGTTTAATATATTTGTATGTCACATAGTTCATTTTTTCTCAAATCACTTGATAATTGCTAATTGAATGTGTACTGGGTTCAATAAGGAAGAGATGAGTTGGGGTTGGAGGAGGGGGAGAGGGACCCTAAACATTCTAGAGCTTAAATGAATCTCCTAATATGAATATTAGAAATAAGTGAAAGGAAAATAATGAAAAGGATGGAATCTCTAGTTTGTATTATTCTTTATGCACATGTGTGTCTAATCCATTGAATAGATAAAATTAGATGTACAAACTTTGGGCAAACTACGGGAGCTAAAGGTCTTTCTCTCCAGCAAATTTGGATGGGATGCCCATTCCCAGTTATTGGATCACTCTGGTGCTCATATCTCCAACCTAATTTATGGGCATGGAGCCGCAGTTTGAAGCCAATGACTGCTTATCACTTTTAAGTTTTGACTTCCCTAGAACTTAACAGCATAGCATGATATGGTGATTTAGAAGTTGAAAGCATGACTGCAGAATAATTCGGTGCATGTTATTGTTGCTGAAATCAGTCTTCCAGCCCCATTAGAAACTACCTGCATACTGTTATAAGCCAATACCCAAGTGAAGGTGTAAAATTTCTTTTATTTTTGACTTGATTTTGATGAATTTGGTTTTGATGAGATTGATTTACCTTGAGAAATTTGATGCCCTGTGAGCACTTTATTGTTTTTATTTCATTGCATTTTAGGATGATGTTTTTGTGTTATCTACTGCAGCAATCAGCCAAAGAAGACTTCTCTTTCAAGGAATATGATTGCGCTTCTTAGCCATGGAGGTGTCCCGGATGACTTTTTTATGGGCATATTGAAGAATGCTATAGAAGAGTCACACGGTGTTTTCTCCAATAAACGTGCAGCTCTTAAAGGTAGATCTATTAACTTATATAACAATAACTTCAAGCATTTCCCCTCCCTCCCTCCAATTTTTATTTTGAAGATTATACTACCTTAATATGAATATATTATATTTGTTTAGAAATGAAATACTGTAATTCCAATATTTTTATTATTTTTTTATTTTTTTGGCTTTGCATTATTGCCTTCGAGTTTGGTCGCATTTCTTGTCATTCATGTTCCTTTGCTTTATCTGCCGCCCCTCAATATTCTCATCACCTTTTGAATTGATCTTCTTTACTATCACATGCAGTTTCTCATCACCGTGGTGGCATGGATGATGTCAGTGCAATGATTTTATCAGGGATTCCCCTTGATGAATCATATTTGCAACATCGGATGTCAATAATGTTAAATGAAGAAAGGAAGGGTCTCCTAGGAGGAAAACTTCCTATCACCGAGTCTTATTATTTAATGGGTACTGTTGATCCGTCTGGAGTACTAGAAAGTGATGAAGTCTGCATTATATTGTACGTAAGTTTTGGGGTTTTTCTGTTATTCTTGTCATTTTGTTTGTGATGGTGACATAACAAATAATTACAATTTTGAACTACATTATTTAAAGATGCCATTATGGAATACGCTTTCAATAGAAAATTTGGAAGTTGATATGTACAATTACATCAGCCAGTATATGCTGCAGAGTTAACTAGCAATTTTCAAGTCTTAGCTTCAAGTTTGCAAGTTGGAATGTTGTTGATAGATTATGTATCAAATCAGGATCACTTTCCTGATTTGTTGGGATTTATATTTCTGGTCTTTTATTTGTTTCTATGTTTGGATGATTTTGTCGTGATTTTGTGGGTTCTTTGTACATATCAATTTCTCAATATATTTGGGGATTCTTTTTAATCAAATAACACAGAGAGAACATTGTTTTTTATCTTTGTTTTCTAATGTTATACCTGATTGTAGCATATGGTTTAATGTGTAATGTTTGCTGTTCTATTATGCTTATGTGCATGTTGAAAGAGAGTGAAAATGGAAGCTTTACATCTGTGCACATATACGCATTTATTATGGCACATATTATGAGGACACCCCTAATATCATCTGTCTCCATGTTTCTCATTTATCGGACTTTTTAATTTTATAGCAAGTTGAAATTTGGTTTATTTTATTATACATTGAGACATTATAAGGTCTATGATGCATAAGAGGAAGGAATATTGTTTGGGCCCCCTTTGCTTGAACTGTTTACTATTTGTATTAGTAAATTTGTTGATATTGTCTCAACTATTTTGGGCAGAATTAACTTTTGCATTAATGGTTGGATGTTGTGTTGTCTTCTCGGATGATATGTGTAGGGATAATGGACAGATTTCTGGGAAAGTTCTAGTGTACCGCCAACCTGGTGTACATTTTGGAGATATACATGTTCTAAATGCTAGATATGTGGAATCCTTGGAGGAATTTGTAGGACATGCCAAATATGCTATATTCTTTCCCTGTAAAGGCCCGCGCTCTTTGGCTGATGAGATGGCTGGGGGTGATTTTGATGGTGATATGTATTTTGTATCAAGAAATCCCCAGGTTGGATATTTTGAATTAGTTTCTAGTTCAAGAGTTTATTTATCTTTTCTTTTTTTTTTTTCCTTTTCTTCAGTCGCTAGCTGCCCTAGTCGCAACCCTTATTGTTCTTTCCTTTTAATAGATGGTCAAATGGGTAACCAACTTGTTTCTATCTTCATTTCAATATATATATTTTTTATTCTTGCACTGACTTCTACTGGATGCATCATGAATTTCAGTATATGCTAGAAGGTAATATTTAATTTGGTCTTTAGTTCACTCTTCTATCTTCTTACAGATGAACTTACTTGAATGCCTTTACATTCCTATATGGTTGGTGTTAGTTGCTGTCAACAGCATTTTGTATTGGCCTAGGTGTCAACAGCATTCTTGGAGATCATGCATGAAATGGATACTGGTTATTTAGGGAAACTTTTAACTATTTCTTGTCCTACTTATTTGACTAGCATTTATGAGACATGTTCAATTGTTAATATAACCATTGTACTTTAAATTGCAATCAATATATATATATATGTGTGTGTGTATGTGTGTGTGTGACCCGAAATATCCTATGTGCCATATTTATAAAATTTATGAAATACATTGAAGACCCTCTTTCTTGTGTGGAAATACATTCAATAATTTTAAGTTGACTTGCCAACAATAATTTTTGTATTATGTAGGTATATTTCTGATTCTTCAAACTCTGCACTACTCCTATGTCTATTGGGTGATTTTTGCCTAATGTTTTGGCTGCTAAATTTGAACGGGACATTTGGCTTACTCTTCAAACAAGAGGAATATTGTTTTTAATTAGATTATAGTTTGATGTTTTAGAGATATCCTATTCCAATTTGAATGTCGTACATTAAATTGTAGGATGAATCTGTATTTTGCATTATTTTGATGTTTTTTAGATTAGCTTGACTAATTGTTGTACTATCTTCAGTTATTGAATTACTTCAGAGTGAGTGAACCTTGGATGGGAAATTCTTCTACTTTTGGAGTGTCTAGTAAAGGACCAAGTGAGCTCTCAGATGGGGAGCTGGAGGATGAGCTCTTCAAATTATTCCTGAGAACTAGGTTTCGGCCAAGGTAATCACTTTACTGTATTCCTTAATAGCATTTTGGTTTCATTAGTAAGAGGGAAGAGCCCTGATTTGGAATGTTAACAACTGTGAAAGAGTGAGTTGATATTTGCTTGAATTATATTATGTCACTGTTTATCACATTCCTTTCTGAACAATTAATGTATTATAAATCGAACTCTTATAAGTAGAATTTCCTTTTTATCTGAAGTTTTGTAAAGGAAACTAGGTTTTTTTCATTTTTCATCTTAAGTTCCTCAAAACTAGTACATTCTCCCTAGAAAAGACTTGTTGCTTTACTTGCTTCTCATCTCAGCAAATACTTATGAGGTCATCAAAAGTGTCTTTCAGTCTCATCAAATGATATGCCGGACTTGGAGTCCATATTGAGGTCATTTAATAGGATGCTATTAACTTGTTTGCCACACTTGATAACAGCTATGGGGTGGCAACTTGGTAAGGGATCTCCTGGTTTTGGTTCCTAATGTCTCTAGTGTATGGAGGTGGAGTTCTTTGGGTAGTCCTAATATCATATTGGATATTGATTTTGGTTCTGATGTAGAGGTGCTTTTGGCTGCTTTCAGTTATGCCACGAGCCTTGCAGCTAATAATTGGCTTGCAATAATGGATCAATTTCTTACACTAGAAGATAGTAACTCTTGTGAGAAAGCTCTTCTGAAGAAAAACCTGCTACGATTGATTGATTTATATTATGAGGCTCTGGATGCACCAAAGACAGGAAAAGAGGTTAGTATGTTACTTTTTCAAGGGATTGAGATGGCTGATATTTTAGCCCACGTTTCTGTCATTCTTTTTAAGTGAAGTCAATGACAACATTCTTATCTGTCAATGGTGAGCTATTGATTTGAAGAACTTGTGACTTGGGGGTTGATTGTTAACTAAAGCAGAAAGATGAATGTGAAATCCGCAGGAGATGATTGCTTATTTTTTTTGGTTTTGCTGCAGTAAACTATATGTATGCATGTATAAGTATTTTTATTACTTTTGTATGTTTTTGACCTCCAAAGATATTTTACTTAAAACTGATTGTTGCTGTCTTGAAATTTGGTGTAACCATTTTCTCCTACTTCCAAATAGATTGAAGTTCCAGAAGACTTGAGAGTAGCTGGATTTCCTCATTATATGGAACGGGAAAATTCTTTCAAATCAACTTCCATATTGGGGAAAATGTATGATTTTTTCAAATCATATCGAGAAGAAATGTCGAGGAAAGTTAAAGGTTATCTTGATCAAAATTGAAGCTATATGTGTCATTTGACTTAAAGAGCATTTTGTTAAAGCACCTTTCTGAGTTTTATGTTTTATGCTATCATGGGATAAGTGAACTGGGATAATGTGTTTGTCTTATCTTGTTCAGAAGTTCGGAAGCTCCCTTGCTTTGATGTTGGCTTTCCTGAAGATTGCGGAGAAAAGTGGACTGAACTATGTAAGCAGTACAGGAAGGACATGACGCATGCTCTGGATGGCAAGAGCAAAGAAATGAGAGAAGAGGCTGCTAAAGCAGTTTATAACGAATACAAAGAGGTGATTGTTACGCTTTGCATTTGTATATTGCCTCTTCTGCTGAGTAAGATTCATTCTGATTCTTTATACTCTTGTGGTATAGAAATTGTACGGTGCTACAGAATTTGAGCAGAGACAAAAGCCTCTAGATCAAATCTATAAAGAGGCTCTTGCCATTTATAACATTTCCTATGATTATGCCATTAAAATAGATGACGTGAGCAAATGTGGATTTGCTTGGAAAGTTGCCGGCTCAGCCCTCTTAAGTTTGTATGCCTCAGAACAGGTGAAATGACATTGCCATGTGCACTTTCTGTTTTAAAAGACCTCTTTGCCTGAAGTAATGTCGTTTGTAATTGGCTAATAGCATATGGTTTCAAACCTTCAATTTTCAATGTTTATCATCGCCCTGAAGTATATGGTTTATGTTTTTTTTTTTTTAATTGTGGAGGAAAGCCCTCAAAATGTCATGGTTCAATTAGATATTCCGATATGATTATTTGCATATATCTCTCCTTCAGATAAAAGAATGAAATACTTTAGCAGATGTCAGCAGCATGCTTGGAATGAATTGCTGTGGTTGCAATCTGAAACATTTACTTTTACGTAGTAATGTAGCTGTTATGACGAGTTAGAACATCTGAATTCTCATTCTTTTGTATGAAGGGATAAAATGCTCTTTGTGAGACTGTTTTTTGTAGTGGCTGAATCATCCATTTAGTGACTATATGAGCTTATTTTTTGTTGATACCTCGACCATTGCTCTTGCATTGCTTCTTGGGTTGTAAATTCTAATGCCTTAAAATTAGAACAACAGTCTTCAATCCTGATGCAATATTCAGGCTTTGACGCTTGTGATTGAATTCTTTTTCGGCTTGCCGTCAACCTATCCTTTCTCCCTAGTACTTATATGAAGTTAAGAAAAAAAAAAGGTGAAAACAAAAATGAAAAGAGATATGGAATGATCCATGAAAGCACGAGAATTATGAAACTACAGAAGATATAGACAGGAGAAATCAGTCAGTCCCATTCTGGATATATACAAATAATTTGGGGAAATGTTGATCTTGGGAGCAGATACTGCAGATTTGAACCACTAGCAAAACTAAATTTTGGTTTATTTATGAAATTCGGATGCATCAAGCGGTGGTAACTGTCCACTGTCGACATTTTTACGTGAACTGGAAATTCCTTGATGAAACAGGGAATGACAAAATCAGGAATGAGAAGCAGCATGTTGTAGAATGTAGATCAATCTAAATCAGAACCTTTCTCACGTGAGTGAAATATTCTTCTAGATACGGGAGCTTTTATTTAAAGCACTTTTTGTTCCCTTAGTGCTTAAATGGAGGCTGCTCATTGGTTCTTCTAGGTTGTCTTGTTTGTTGATTTGACAAAGACTACGTAGGTCATGCCCATTGTCTTTACCAAAGAAGCAAAAGTTATCGTCCGCGCCATGAATCAAACCATCTTTCGATACCCAAAATCAAACATTTTAAAATGTTTGCCGACTTCCCTACTTGAACTAAATGTTGTGTGTAATAGCGTATTGTTTCAAACTTTCAAGTTAAGAAGAAACGTAATATAATGTGTATATATATGTAGTTTATCATCTCCCTGATGTATGAGTTTTACCTTTTAATTGTGGAGGAAGCCCCGAAAATGTTGACTTTTTTGCAGAAATGTCGAGATAGTGTGGGGGACCGTAGTTTTTGGCCTTTTCAAGCCAAAAGAAATGCATAAGGTAGGCAGGCAATAGGCGTCACGAAACTTATCATAACCCGCCAGGTCCAGGCGGCTGTCGAAGAATCAATTGGTTGTAAGTTTTAACTTGTAGCTTGTTTGCTATCTACTTTTCAAGTCTTATCTAAACCCATCGGTTATTAGTAGCTTTATGTCTTGTCAGATAAAGAAAACAAAAATAAAATTGATGAAACAAAGACAAGAAAGTGAAACATGTCAAGAGAGGATAGAAAATGTGCAAAAGAACAAAACAAAACTGAATGGTCCTGAAAGGTTTATTTGTATTAAAATTTATATTTGATATATTATATATTGTTAATAATCATATAATGATATTTTAGAAAAATAATTTTAAAATTAAAAAATATACATTTAATTTTGAAAACATTTAAAATTATTTTCTATTATTAAAAAAAGCTAGTATATTCCAATTGATATACTGAAATCATGGACCTGAAAAGAGTCAAATGTGCTAAAAATCAGCAAGACATGCACGTTCGCAGTCCCCACCGCCAGCAATCCCTTGTTGACATGTGACCAACCTCCGCCACCCACCATCACCACTTAGCCACCACGTCGGTCCAAATCTGCCAATTAGCCGCCTCTCCTCCCACCCACTCTCCCTATTTTCCGTTATTTAAAAATTTTACGTATTAAATATGGAGCTTAGTTGCCTACTTCCACGTTCTATCCTAAACACAAACGTTATTTCTAAAATATTTTTGTAGTTCAGAGTTCAGATGATTCGAGCTTTCCAACAAAGACAAGAACCCTTCCGTCTCATCTTAGCTGAAATTAGTACTCCTGTTGTCCTAACAACATTTTTTTTGTACGCTACACTAACCATTTCTTATTTGTCTTAATCTCATAAAGATAAACATCACTTCTCTATCTGTCTTCCAAAAAAAAAAAAAATCTTATGTTCATGAACGAGTTACTATTTGTGTCCACATGGGGTCTTACTGTTTTGAAAACAGTTCACTGTTTTCAAGTTCTAGGTGCATGACAATGACGTTGATTATTTTAAAGTCTTCAACTTGACTTTTGATTAATGCTAAAATTGAAGTGGCACACTGAAAACAGCTAACCCATGTGTTTTTTTAAAGTTCTGGGGATTGATTATTTATCTGTAATATATCCAGTTGGATGTCTCAGACTCACAGAAAAAATAGTAGTAATAGTATCAGCTGAATCAATATAGAGGAAAGGATGGAGAGCACCATGAAGGAGATGAGAGGCGGGGAATCTGTGCTTGACATGGACCCCAAATCTACCGTTGGTGGCGGTGTTGAGGATGTCTATGGTGAGGATTGTGCCACTGAGGACCAGCTTCTCACCCCCTGGACTTACTCTGTAGCCAGGTCACCTTTCTTCTTCTTCTTCTTTTTTTTTTTCATGAAACTTTTGTTTATGTTTTAGTATGTTTTCATGTATGATCGGTGATCAAACATCATTTGATTTGGTTTAATTTACTTCCAATTTATGATGATAATAGAAATGAAAATGATCGTTAAAACCATTAAGTAGGATTGGAAGAAATCGGAAAAAAGGTTGTTGTTTTTGGTTCTGAATGTTAACTGAAAGTAGTATTACTATTCCATGGTGCAGTGGATATTCATTGTTGAGGGATCCACACCATAACAAAGGGCTTGCATTCACTGAGACAGAGAGGGATTCTCACTACTTGCGTGGTTTACTGCCTCCTACTGTTGTCACTCAACAGCTTCAGGTTTACGCTAATTGCAAGACCTTTTTGCACAAACATGTTTGCTTTTGAGAAGTAGTATAAATTAATTTTTAAATTTTATTCTAAAACCCAGGAGAAAAAATTGATGGCCAGTATCCGGAAATATCAAGTTCCACTGCAAAAGTATATGGCCATGATGGAACTTCAGGTCTCTCTTTTAACCTTAATTATATTCACGTTAGCCTTTGAAGTTGATGATATTAGCAATAAACAGATCAATTTTCGCAATGAATGATGTGGAAAAGAACTGTTCCTGATCAGTTCATAGGAGAAGGAAATGACTGACTAAGTTCTTTGTCTTCACTGTTAATAGGAAAGGAATGAAAGACTGTTTTACAAGCTTCTAATTGATAATGTTGAGGAGTTGCTCCCAGTTGTCTATACTCCAACTGTAGGTGAAGCTTGCCAGAAGTATGGAAGCATCTTCAGGCGTCCTCAGGGTCTCTACATAAGCTTGAAAGAGAAGTATGAATGTTTAGTTTCGTTGTGTAAATTTGAATCTCCAAGTAGATTGGCTTCGACTTAACCTGCTAACAACGTGCAGGGGAAAAGTTCTTGATGTCTTGAAGAACTGGCCTGAAAGGAGTATTCAAGTTATTGTTGTAACTGATGGTGAGCGTATTTTGGGGCTTGGGGATCTTGGTTGTCAGGTAAATTGTGTGAAGACATTTCTTCAATTAGAAACATTTTAATTGGTAGTTAGTTTAAATTGCAGTTTTGGGATTCTATACTATTGTGTTTTATTCTGTTGGAAATTTAGGGGATGGGAATTCCAGTTGGAAAATTGTCTTTATACACAGCACTTGGAGGGGTTCGTCCTTCTGCGGTAAGCATTTCCAATGTGTCTTTTCTCCTGAATTTCTTCAGTTGTGCTTGAGATCTGCATTTGTAGTTCTTAAGCTGCAGTTTGACATAGTTAAAGGAGTGGAAATAAAATTTGAATATAAATAGCAATTGTAATGGTGCCGCTGTAGTTCTGAGCCTCTGACTCTCATAGTGATTGATTATGCTTTATAGTGTTTGCCTGTGACCGTCGATGTGGGCACAAATAATGAGGCATTGTTGAAGGATGAGTTCTACATCGGACTTAAACAAAGAAGGGCAACTGGGCAGGTAGGTAGATTTCAGTAGCATAATCATTATGAACATAACTTATTTTACACTGAGGTTATTTTTTACTACATTCCAGGAATACGCTGACTTGTTACACGAGTTCATGACTGCTGTCAAGCAGAACTATGGGGAAAAAGTTCTTATACAGGTATTCATGCTTTGGAGACTTCCTTTTTTATTCATAAAACTTTCAGGATTTGATGTTCTTCTTGCATTTCTCTAACCATGTCTAATTCTTTTGATATTACACAGTTTGAAGACTTTGCAAATCATAATGCTTTTACATTGCTTGCAAAATATGGCACAACGCACCTTGTCTTCAATGATGATATACAGGTAAGAGCTAGTAGCAGCATTATATGTAGCTCCCTCCTTATAATTGTTTACGCTTTCTTTATCTACCATCACTTTTATTGCAGGGGACAGCATCTGTTGTTCTTGCTGGGGTCGTTGCAGCATTGAAGTTGATTGGTGGTACTCTAGCTGACCACAGATTCTTGTTCCTTGGTGCTGGAGAAGTAAGACTTTGATCTCTGCGTCATCATTATTTTAATCATTTGCTGAAGGGGAAGGGAGCAAAATGCTGAAATAATTGATAAGAAAGAAATAATGCTCTCTGTGCAACATGATTTAACTTTGAATGGATCAATTTAAGGTACCTCTCTAATCTTCAGCAGTCTGTATTAATCGAGTCACTTACACTTGCTTTTGTCACACTGTTGCAGGCTGGGACTGGTATAGCAGAGCTTATAGCTCTTGAGATGTCAAAGCAGGTAATAGCATACTATTAACATTTGCAGATCTTTTTAGTTTATTCTAAATTCCATTGTAGTGTTTGGAGTGATATGATCATTAAGCTGGATGTGGTTTTTCTGTCACACGTGTAGACAAAAGCTCCCTTGGAAGAGACCCGTAAGAAGATCTGGCTTGTGGACTCAAAGGTATAGATAAGCTTGGTAATTATATATATATATATATCTTATGGGTATCCCTTTTCACCTATGGAGCCTGTGAATTATCTTTCAGGGACTGATTGTTAGTTCTCGTAAAGACTCACTTCAACACTTCAAGAAACCATGGGCACATGAACATGAACCTGTTAAGAATCTATTAGGTGCTGTCCAGGTAAGAGAAACATTGCTTACTTCCGCATTTTAAAAGTAATTTTTGGTTCTTATTTTTCTCTCACTTCTTCAGGCAATCAAGCCAACAGTTTTGATTGGATCATCTGGAGTGGGAAGAACTTTTACAAAGGAAATAATTGAAACCGTGGCCTCCTTCAATGAGGTACTTCACTTATTCATTCTGCCAATAAGCAAGAAAATGTCATATCTATAGGCTTCTGTTAAAACTGTGTCTGCCAGAAAAAGGTTTACGTTGTTGTAAATATATGCTGCATGCAGAAACCTCTTATTATGGCTCTCTCCAATCCAACCTCACAATCAGAGTGCACAGCCGAAGAAGCTTATACTTGGAGTCAGGTAAAACTCTTAATCGTTTCTTAGACCTCATAACTAAAGTAAAAATGCTATAGGGAAGTTTTGAGTGCCCTATTTGCTTCCAAATCTCTTTCTTATTATTTGTTGCCTGCATCTTGCAGGGCCGTGCAATTTTTGCTAGTGGTAGTCCATTTGATCCCTTTGAATACAATGGCAAACTTTTTGTTCCTGGCCAGGTCCAACCATTATTTGATTGTTTAATATATGTTGGCAAATTCTCCCATATGGGATATCTGTTAAATATCAGGGACTGAGCTCTGTGCTTTCTTCTGTCAATTCAGGCCAATAATGCTTACATTTTCCCAGGATTTGGTTTGGGTCTGGTCATCTCTGGAGCAATTCGTGTTCATGATGACATGCTTCTGGCAGCCTGTAAGTAGGCAGAAATTTAAGAACAAAATTACTGATATAAGCTGTCCTGCCTTTTCTTTTCGTTCGCTAAACTGAAATTTCTGTACTTTGTGGCATTCTTTTGATACGTTATCTCCAAACGAGAGACAAATCTTAATAGCAGATACATACTGAAGTTCACTATGATTATGATTCAAAGTCTTGACATGAGTTTAAGCATCGATAAGTTGCCGAGGAATTAACTGTATACTTTTCTTGTCTGTGTTCTATAACAGCGGAAGCCTTGGCTAAGCAAGTGTCTGAGGAAAACTATGACAAGGGGCTCATCTACCCACCTTTCTCTAATATAAGGAAAATTTCAGCTAACATAGCTGCTAACGTGGCTGCTAAGGCATATGAACTTGGTGAGTGACATTTCTAGTAGATTTAAAGACAAAAATTGTTGTTGTTTCATCTCTTAAGCAAGACATTATTTCTAATTATGCTTTCTATAGGTGTGGCAACACGTCTCCCTCGTCCTGTGAATCTTTTGAAATATGCTGAGAGTTGCATGTACTCTCCCGTCTACCGAAGTTTCCGGTAAATGGTCAGAGGTTTTCATCTTGAAGCTCGTTGTATGTCGCTTGATGCCTAATGAATAAGGTCAAGTAAAAATATGACTTCGGGTTGGGAAATTTTAACTCGTACCATTTAGTGTTTGAGATAATAAGATGTTTGTATGTTTATGTTTTGCAAAAGCCCAATAATACAAAGTAGTGTAAAACTGTAAATTACCTTTCCATGTTATCCCATCTGATTTTTCTCTTAGCATCTCGCCGATCAGTTTGGTTAGACTTTTCGATGCCTAAATTATATTTTTTACGAGGTGGGCAGCATGTTTTAGCTGTCTCTAACCTCATTGACCCAAGGTATAAATGGAGACACATCCTCCATTGCAAAGGGCCATTTCAGGCCTTTGTTGGCAGCTGATGGGTTTTCCTCTTTAACGCAAGATAATGGGAATAGAACTTAAAATACTTGAATTTCCAAGCACCTATTTAAATATTCGAAACTGCAAGGTTACTGTGGACTCCAGGGTACATAAACATCTTTCTTTCCCTTTTCGAAGTAATCTACTATTGGTTTTACTCGACCTACTACTGCTTTATCTTTTTTATGAAGATTGCATACAGCTGTGACGCTTTAGGGACAAATGACAGGTAATTTTGCTTTGTGATTGTAATCTACTGTTCAATGGAGAAAAGCCAGCTAAAGAGAAAATAGATAAAATAGGTTCCTTTCTGAATCTTGCAACATAATAACTTTATTAGGAATCATAACCCTATTACTGTAATACATCTACATGAGAGTAAAACAGACTTTCTAATGTTTGATATAAAGCAAATGCAAATCGATATGCTCCTTGTATTATGAAAATTACAAATTCAGTAAGGACTTCAAGTTTGATGTTTGTTGTATACACTTAAATCAGCATGAGTGTCCTTGTAACGTTGGCTTAGGTATGTGTCGCATCTAATTGGGGGAAACCTGGTTAGAGTACATGCAGCAGTTCAATTAGAAATGGTGTGTTAGATAAAACAAGACACGAATGTCATTGCAACTAAGGTCTAAAAGGGCGTGGGGAGGGTGGGGGTGGAATGGACTTCAATGCTTATTATCTATTATTAAAACACTTCGAAACTAAGACTTACTGGGGAGGATTTTTTTCTGATTTGCAAGTTGGCAAACATTCAACAAGACATTCATGACTAGGTTCCACAAAGTATGCAATCTGCCGTCAGAAACAAGAGACAACCTTAATTTTCTTCAAAAGGTTATATGTTAGAAGTTACTAAGACAACACGTCCCCAAGAAAATTCCAAGCAAGAATAACTAGAAAGAAACTTGCAAAAAGAATATTAATAAAAAAAATCAAGGAACTAAGCCAAAAATTTCAACTATAAAGGCAAACGATAAGAAAAACCAAGATGAAAATACCAGTTAAAACCTGTCTTTTCATGTCAACCAATTTTAGCCTACTTGATGACATACACCAATCATAGAATAGTTAAGTTCATTTTAGTGAAGTCTGAAAAGATCAAATGGAGTCAACTCAATAGAGTAACAAGAGTTGGTAGAAAGGTTAATTTCAAATTTCTAGTAGGCAAAGTTACCCTGCTTGCATTTAGTTCCCAAAGACAGTTGGCCACATCGGCAAAGAACAAGTTCATCAAAGAATAACTATATAACCAGCATTAACCAGCATTAAAAGTCGGGCAAGATACATAGAAAAGAGTATCACAGAATGAATATATCGGAACAACCAAATATCATAACATGAAGACATCTTAGAAGATCTGTTCAATCATGAAATCATCTAAAAGGCTGTGAAAGGCCTTAAAGCCTGGATGATAAAGAAAGGTTTAAAAAGTTAAGGGGCCTTACAGAATATCTCTCTTGACCATTCCCTAAAACTCTGTGTAAAGTGGACCTGAGTACAAACAAAAACCAAATATTTGGTTAAGAAAAGAAAAGAAAGTGTAAATTCAAAGTGTAAAAATTTTTTAAATGATGAATAAGTGTAAAAATGTCACAAAACAATAAAAATCGTGAGCCAATAAAGCTCAAAGTTACTATAGGGCAGCTTTCACTAAGTAACCTTCTGTACATATAATAATACAAAAGAACCAAGAAATAATGGAGTTATATTTGCTCTAGATCAATAGACATGACAGCCTTAGACAATAGTTCTATGCTTTAAATTTGTCAATATAATAAATCTGCATAACTTAAAAGTAAAAGGCAAAGTGGAGTACTAAAATTAGTCTTAAGTTATGTAGTAAATGTTGAACAATATGGGAGCCTCTTAAAATCTAGTATCATTTATCTTTTACTGTCATCTTAATAAAATGCAATTTGGACCATAGATACCACAGAAAGTTCCACATTACTTGAATAGGCAGTTGCTCCAACGCTCCAACATATCCCCAAGATTGACTATAAAAGCTCTGTAAGAAGATAAGCCACATTTTAAGCATGTCATATGCTACGATTATTAGTGATTAAATTAAACTTAGTACATGGAAAGCAAGACCAGATTAATTGATTAGCAGAACAATGCAAGGATAGAAATTTAAGAAAATAACAGGAAAAATGATGATAGCAACCTAGTTGTAGCAAGCAACTGGAAATCAATCATTTAAGAGTTGATATTGGGTCCAAATTCAGCATCCAACATGAAGGCAGTTGCAGCTTCCAAGACCCAGACAGTAAAACCATTGCATATGCACTACATGTCTACAATTTAACCTAAAATCTCAAATTTCTGCTAGCCATCAGTGTCCTACCCTTTTATTGGTGCCACATACTCCCATACCTGAGGTTTTGCATCTTTATCCTTGCATATCTGCAAAAATCATACAAACTTTATTTTAACTAGTCAAGTGGGCAAAGTAATGGTAATATAGTCACATGTTACAGCAATGTTCATACTTGCAGACCCATAACATCATCTGTTACCAAGAGTGTAATCAATCCATAGTCAGAATGTGCTCCAGCTCCAAATATTCCTTTTGAGGGATCAGAAATTTGACCTGAACATATTATGAAGTTCATATAATGACTTTCATCAACTGTACAATGACACCAAGATCAAATAATCGCATTCCAATTTCTTCCACCTTCATAGTGTAGTAAGCGCAGGGTGGCAATAGGCTTTCCAAGCATCTCAGGCTTATCAAAGAAATCAACCTCTAGGTCAAGTGCAAGTGCTATGACCCTTGCAACTGCTTTTGCCACCTCCCTAATTGCAATTAAAGAAGAAAAATAGAATCTTATTAGCCTATTTTCTTCACACGTGTATCATAAAACGCATAGAAACCTAATAAAATGCTAGCTTATCACTTACAATGCCTCGTGATGGAATTTCTCCATAGTCTGCCTCCATCCAGGCAAAACACCTAACCAGAGCCAAAAGTTAAAAAAAAAAAAAATTGTTGAAGCATTCTTTCAAACAGGTCTTGCAAGAAAACCAATCAATGAAGTCCAATATATTTTACCATCAGCGGGCCAAACATTTGGACCATAAAAAGGCTTTTCAGCTTCAGGATCATCTTCAGGCACTTCCACACCTATGTAATACCCCTCTTTGTAGTCTCCTGCTAGCCCACCAGAAAGAAAAGCTGGTACTTTGGTTCCATATAAACTATTTCACCAATGATCAATATGACTGGTAAAGCAGATAATGCAGTCGAAAAAAATACAATCACTAAAAAGAAAGAGTTGCTGACCATGCAATTGATTATCAGGGTCAAGAAGCTCATCAAGCACGGGAGTGTAGCCTCTATGTTTTTCATTCCTCAAAACTTTCATTTTCTCATTTAATGGCAAATGAAAAAAGTTCTTGCTTTGAGCAAATACTTCATCCATGAATTCCTGACTTACCCCATGGTTTACCACATAGAAAAACCCACAATCCAAACAAGCCTAAACCCACCAAAAAAAACCCAGACTTTAATTCTGGGGTTATCTGAATAATCAACAAGATATCAAAATATCAACTTCAAATCATCAAAAGAATACAAAAAATAATAATAATTCAAATGACAAGTACAACAAAAACATAGAAGCCAAAGGAACAATAAAAAAGAAGTAGAGAGGGAAATAGAAACCTGCTTGAGTAAAGAGACGGATTGGTGAATATCAGGATTAGAGAGATCGATACAATAGAGGGTTGACACTTTGGTCGGATCTTCGGCTCCATTTTGGTTCTGATTCATCTCCATTTTATCTTGGCGTAGCTTTGTAGTTGTGGTTTTGTTTCTATAATTACTAAGGATTTAAGTTTCGAAACTCAAGATGAGAATTTACGGTTGGATGAATATAGAGAACAACGGTAACTTGTCGATAATCTAAGTGGGACCCTCACTTGGTTTCCACAATCTCCACGTAACCCTACTTTGGTAATTTGACATTTTGACTAACGCAAAGACTTTTTTTTTTTTTTTTTTACCTAAAATTATATTATTTAAAATTTATTTTTTAAAAATTTGAGACAAAAGAGTTTTAAAAAAATATTATTAATTATCGTGCTTCATAATATAAAAATATAACATTAAATTAAAAAAATTTAATATTAGATTCAAGAATCAAGATGCAATTTACTTTCGAAAGAAAAGTTGGAAATTATAATTAATAACAAAAGATTAATTAATTTTATCAGTCAAACTTTTATTTTTTCCAATTTTCTTAGAGTTCCAACTTAATTTCCATATACCATATTTAAAAATCTCTACTTTTTCCAAATGAACGACCTTTATAATCAATGGTGGAAAATCTTGATCATTTGCATTTGCATTCTAATAAAAAAATTTTAAATGGTGGGACACTGGCGGATTTATTTATAACCACTCTATATGTATTTATTATTTATTAGCTCATTCAATGGATGACAAAAATTTTGAGTAAAAAGAAAGATAATGGCAAATAATTAAAAAGAAATTATCAAATATATTGATAATAATTTTTTTTAATTTTACAAACAGAATTAAAATTGTGACATATATTTTTTATATATTTTAAAAAATTCATTTAAAAAAATTCATTTTAATCTCGTTTACAAAATTTTAAAAAATTTATTATTTATCAAATAATTTCTCATAATTAAAAGGCTGTTCTTTTTAATCAAGTATTGAAACTGTTGTTATGTAATGGTTTTTTTTTTTTACAAAATTGACGGTTTGAGATGAAGAAAAAGATTTCAAATCTTTTTATTATTTCTTTACGTATTCAAACAATCATAGCTACGAAGGTCCTTTTTCGGTGAAAAGCATCGATGTTTTATTGGTTTCAATCTTGTAATTCGAGCGCAATAAAAACGAATCCCCAATGCAAAGAATTTTCCATATAGGTAATGAAAACATTGAATGAAAATTTTAATTAAAACTCAATCATGCCTTTTTGAGAACTAAAATTACGTTTTGAATACCATTATAAGCGATGACTAATCAATTTTGACCATACATTTATTGGTTGCATATTCCCACAAATTAATTAATAAAGTTATATTAGTATTGGGTTTGTATGAGATTTTAAAATCTTGAGGTCTTAATTTTAAGTTTTGATTTGTAGATTTGCTTAATTAATTATGATTTAATTTGTTAATTGATTTATTTAATTATGATGTAATAGTTGATGAATTAATTATATAGATATAATAGATTGTAATTTTCAAAAGATTATATTAGTACTAAAATTAAAAGCATTGGTATAAATTATTAAGCATGGGTAGCTATATTAGTGGGGGAATAAACAGTATATTTATAGCTCTTGGGTTAATTAAATGTATAATGGAAAGTTTAGTGCCACAAATGACAAAACAAGTAGTAGTGGAAAAAGTAGGGTCATAATTACTCAATAACTTTTGGAGTAGTTTAACTTTAATTTTATATTTAAGGGCATAATTATCAATTTGACTTAAAAAAATTAGGCAAGAATTTCTAAAAACGGAAGTTTCCTTATTAATTAGACATCATTAATAAATTTTGCACAGCATTTAGGCAGCTATATATGTACATTTCTTTTTTCTTTTTTCTTTTTTTTTTTGTGGAAAAAAGGCACATTTTATTTTAGAGAATTCACTTGGAGTATTCCGATTCTTGTGATTTCTGATGTTATTGTTATTACTTATCTTTAAAAAGGATAAAGTAGAACTTTTAGATTCAATTTTTTTTTAGCACAATAAACATTCATCCTACCTTCAAAAATAGATCATCGTGGCTAGATATGCAGAAAAAGCCCAACCCATTAAAATGCCATAGATGATGGAAGTAATGGAAATCGATTCATTGAATATCCTACATAAACAAAGTACATAAAATTGATCAACTACATTTGCTTATTCAATAGCTAAGTAAATTTCAGCTTCATCACCAAAAAAGAATAATGAAATAAAATTCCCATCAAACCATCATAGTGAAAATTTTAAGCAGTACCCAAATCTTGAAAATTAAAGAAATTTAAAGTTTGAAGCTCCAAAATCATAGAAGAGCAAGAAACCCTGTCAGCAGCACAAATTCTAAAAGGAAAAAAAACACACACACACACACGTTGGAATATGGAAGACACTATAATGATAAATATTCATTTTCTGATCCACTAACCATTTTGTGCAAAAGGACGGGTTTTCTCTATCTGTTTTCATGGAATCTTCAAAACTTCAATCTTGGCAACTAAACTAAACTAAACTAATCAAATCAATCATGAGTTGGTGAGTAAGAGTAACAAAAACTAAGAAAAAGGGCAGATAAGGATGGAGACAAGTAATGGAGGTTAGATGCATGGGGCTGCCAAGGTAAGAGGGATGGGCAGAAACAAAACAGAAAATATATCTTATTATGAGAAAAAGGAAAAGGCCAAACAGTTTTTCATTTTCTATACAAAGGCAGGCAGCCAAGCATACGAACGTTCTCAGTCTTATAATAATAAGATAGAATTGAGATTAACGATAACGAACCTTCTTCTAAATCAGCCAAGCATGGTCTAAATCTCATAATAGAATTGATAGAATTGAGATTAAATCAGCAATCTTATATTCTATCATGGATTGATTTAATCAATAAATCCATTTACGTTGATGTTAATAATTCTGAATTTAATTTTTTTTTTGTAAATTTTTATTTATACAAATTTTGATACGATTTATTTTATTTTAATTTAAATTAAAATTTAAGCATATTTATCTTAAATTTCTTTTAATATTAGTACATACTTGAGTTAATATGATTCCTTTGCTGTCTCTTCTTCCTTCTTTTTAATTTTAATATTCCAAATATGGGCGTAGTACGTATAGGGGGTGCTTGACCAAGACTGGAAATTAATGGCTCGTGAGCCTCATTGCAATTGCGGTCAAGCACGTTTTTTTTGTCGGGGAGGCATAATTCCTGTGCTGACGATACGGTAAAGACTATATATTAAGGACTAACTTAACTTCTGGGGTCAGGTATTGATGTGTTAATTTTGTCAATCCTTCCTCCAATTATAGTCAAAACAAAAAGTGTAAAAAAATAAAAAGGCCTTAATTTCAATGAATAATTGTTTGCTTGCGATATACGTTCGACCGGGTTTCCCATGTCTTACATAGTGATTAAAAAAGTGAAGAAAGAGACATGGGCGTAAGGAAGCCTATTGGATAATGCACATGGTTGATTTAAAAAGTAAAGTTCACTTTACCTTTTTATTTCATAAAAACCAACAATAATATTACCCTTATAACTTAAAATCAAATGATAATAAATTAAAAGAGATTTCATTTAGTTATAAAATCACATAAAATTTAATATCTAATAAATATATATGAGATAATATTACTCAATAGATTCTTTCACATGTAAACATAACACAAAAAAAATCTATCACGTAATAAATTTGTAAAGAATAATAAATAGGAAAGAAATATTTAGATTTAAATATTATATTAAATATTCGATTTAAAATTAATTAATAATAAATAAATAAAACTTAAATGATATTATTATATATAAAACCGACATTGATTGAATTTTTTTCTTCAATAAAGTTTTATAAAGTCCTCAATTTTCAAGGTCGGAAAAACAGCATGCAGTTTATGAGAAAATAAAAGAAAAACATGCAAAGCAATTCAGGAGGAGAAAAACCATTAATTTACACAGCCAATGCCCAAACAAAATAATGGGTATAGGAAGCTAGCTTCTTGGAGGCTTAGCTACCACACATATGTCCAATTCAAAAGAATGCCTAGATTAAAAAAGCCGTAGGCGGCAAAAAAAAACTTAGGACAACATTTTTCTTCAGCTAATATGATCGATGTTGTTGAAGGTGAGAAAAGTTACTGACAAATTATGGAGTTTTTATTGCTTAATCGAAACCTATCAATTCTGCTACTGCACAAGTCTTTGCCGAAAACCAACAAAAAAAATATATATATACAAAGAGTCAAGTCTAAATGGCTGATGTTAGATCGAGGGAGCAAAAAGTCCAGTCTCTTTTGCATGAGTTATTTTTTATTATCTGCTACACTCCCTTTTTCTCCCTCCACTCGAAAATTTTGCCACTTTGATCCCATTTTCCGTTCCCTTTGAAAACTATATTTTTGTCTATAATAAGTAACGTGTTTGAGAAAAGTATTTTGTATTTTTATGGGGAAAGTATATAACTTTTTTTCTTGTTCTTTCAAACATACAAACAAATAGGAAACCGCAATCAAGATTTGATTTAGCAGAGAAGTTTGAACTCTTTGATGGGTCAAGTGTAGAACTTTGAAGTGCAACTTTTCAATTCAATATAATTTTGTTTCTTCTTTATTTTTCAAGATATTATTGGCTTTTCCTCTTTTTGGTGCACTTAATATTAAATTTTTAGCCGAACAACATTATTGAATTAGTTAACGAAGAATATTTTTCTTTTATTGATGATGTTGTAATTGATGTTCAAAATTGTAATAAAGAAGTAACTGACCTTTTCCTATTGAGAATTCGTAGCCATCACGTTCAAAAAATCTTGTCAAATTGTCGCAATTCCAGATTACAACTTGTTCTTTCCGTTGATATCCCACCAGCCAGTTGCTAGTTTGCTTGTCCACTTGCCACTGCAAATTGAACGCAAATGTGACTTTTGCCCTTAATCTCGTTTTCACTTTTGTAGAAAAATATTTGCCCATTCAAGATAATTACCAAATGGTGCAAATTCATTGAACTAATAGATTGCAATGCGATTATATATAATTAAGAATATTTGAATTCCCTATAACAATTTTAAAATGTGGTAAGTTATAGCTGAATATATGATCAATCACAAATCTAATAAAGAATGTTTATGCATAAACAAACATTTAAGTTGATACTATAATTTATACATAATGGATATAATAAGTCTTTAAATATATTTATCTTAATTTCGTCAACTACATAATTTAAAAAAAAAAAAAAAAAAAAGATCGGGAGTGGACATATACTCCGAATTGAGAAGCTATAGATAATTAGATAGCTAAATGTCTGTGGACTGTGGGCTGTGGCTATATATATATGTGTGTGTATATATATCATCATATCATTTCATCAGTCGAAGATTTGATGGCGGCAAAGAGGGCAAGAGTTGCTGTTGCCGTTCAGGAGCCAGTCGAAGATACAATTATGGTGATAGACATGGCCGCATGAGACTTGCCTAGAAGCAGCTGATCCCTGGGATTGCGGGAAACTTTCCATGCAAATGGAGCAACAACCAGTTGCACAATTAACCGCTGGCATGTCCGAAACCAAACGGGCGACTGCTTGATGCCTGACTTGAAGGTTCTCCGGCATCGTTATAGCATCGTCGAGGTCGAATTGTTGAGTGAAAGGGATTATGGAATTATTGCCTGAAACGACAACAACATGGTATTTTGCTGGTCCGCTGGTCATGGCAATTAGCAAAACAAGAAATTTAGGAAGAAAAGATTATTGTCAGACGATAAAGGGTGGGGGCTTAACTGCTGTTTTGGAAGAGGTTTTGGAGATTAGTTTTAAGGAAGCAAAGCATGGTTGGGAGCAGAACCTTTGTCCGCTGCTGTATATGAAGGCCTGCTTCAAGGGGGCGAAATTTGACCATCTCAAAAAGGCAACGATCTTTTTTGACTTCTCTGCCCCTATCAACATCAACTTCCAAGAAATTGCGGATAACAATTTTTGCTAGTTTATTGGTCCAAAAAATTACCTTAAGAATGATAATTTATTTTTTATTCATTAAATGAAAAGTCGCAAGTATTTGTTAAGGTGGGGCTTTACGACTGCTTTCGATAATTTAAGCATTTAAGCATTTAAGCAACTGCTTGGCTAAGGTCCGTTAAATATTAATCTAATTAATACTATTTTTCAACGGTCTTATAAGTTTTAACATGATTATTTACCTAAGATTATTAGTACTATTGTCGTACTTCAAAAAATTTGTGGAATTTATAATTGAACTAATAAATTATGCTACAGCCCGCATCAGTGCCTAGAAATTGTGCCTTATTGGGCCTAAGCCTAATAAATTGCCAATCTCAATTTGGGTTTAGAAAGTGGCTTCAAATAGCAATACATATTCTAGGGTTTGACTTTGATAATGTCCATAGTCCAAGGGTATCTTTGGGTTTAACACCATTCCAATCACATTGAACAGTCGATTCGAGATTAGAGGGAAAAGGTCCAGCAGAAAGCCTTTCTACCATCGCAGTGTAATCTAATTAGATATATTTTCTTTTTTACTGACGTAACCTAAGGATTTCTTTTCGAATTAGTTCTAATGTCATTTTTTTTAGGTATGTGTCGATGATACGAAGGTGATATGAATTAAAAATTAATTTTTATTGATATTGTGGAATTTGAAAATATTTTAAGTTAATATTTTGATAATACATGGTATTTTTAATGCCGATGTAGAATTCCTGAAAGAAAAAAAATTACAAATAACAAAAACCACTATTTATTAAAATTTAAATTGAAAAATAAAAATAATTATTTTACATTTTTTTTTCTTGTTTCTTCTCTGTTCTCTTATTCATTTTTCTTCTTCTCTCCCTAATCTATGTCTATAAGGCTATTGCACACCAAAATTTGTTATTGCCAATACTAGAAAACTTTTTTTCATTGTCAAAAAAACTTGGTCAAATTTAACTTGTTCTTATAATTGTCAAAAACTCTTCCCAACAAAAATTTTCTCACTTTTTTTTTTTTTTTCACTTTCTCACTGACCAAACAGTCTATAAACACCAGAGGCTGATTTCAAAACTCAATTGGTAGTCTGTACTAAACAAGAACAGCTCAAAACATGAACTAATACAAAACTGGTTGGATAAAACAGCTCATATCCCACATAATATAAAGTCGGCCCATTTTCAGGGAAACTTCCGACTGGTGAACCTTATAATTCTTGCATTTTGTCCGAAGAAAAAGATTAAATTAAGAATGTAAAATATTCATAAATATAAAGATATTTCATTGGTGATTTAATATGATTTTTGTCTGAGTTTATTTTTTATGCAATGTTTTTAAATTCTATAAATGAATTTAAAAAATAAAAACTAATGAGATGTGTTGTGGCCATCAGCGGAAATCTTTGTCTAGCTAGTCAATGTTTGAGATTTAATTGTGGACAAATCTTTTTTGTAAGCCAGTACTTTTTGATTGATTGAAACCAAGAAAAACCTTCACTAATCACTACAACTCGACAAGCGTTTTAATCTAACGTCAAGGCTTGCAACATTGACATCAAGACGGTAATTTTACATCATAGACCTCTACTTAGGATAATTTCACACGCAATGGCCAAAACACGTGGAACCAATGATTTTAACGCCAGTCTTTAATTTTTTGGGACTGATGATCAAATTAGATAGCTGGCAAACAATTGAGGGAGAAAATTTGAAAGAAAGCAATACTAAAATATGTAGCTTTTTATTTTTGATCATTTTAAGTTTTAATTAATTCAAATTATTTAAAAATTTAATATAAGATGTAATATTTTTAGTATTTTTTTAAGTGTAAACCGTATTCAAGTTTGTTTTAAATTTTTTTTTAGTTCAAATAAATTTGTATTCAAATTATTTTAAATTTAATTATTCCATATTTGTCTTAATTCAAAATTTTTAATTATTTTAATCAAATTAAGATCGATGCAATTTTTGTTGAGTAAATTTTCTAATTCATTTTCATTTTATTACATTTTCTTTTTGACTGCTCCATATATAATCATACATTATTTAGTTTATTGTGGACGTTTCAAATTGGATAACGATAAAAAAGGCAATTCTCGAATTTGATAGAAACTAAAGCAAGTAATCTAATAATGGAAAACGTGGGCCAAGCAAAAGCGGTAGTAATAAAAGTAATAACCGAGCTTTCACGCGGACAAATGTTACTTACCTGACTTATCCCAAAAGGCCGTTACCAAACATCGCCTTAGTCCTAGCCTATGTTATGTACCACGAAGTTTTGAATTTCATATTAAATATAAAAAAAAATTATTAAGATATAAAATAATTCACATTATTTTTTTATGAGATATTTTTTATAAGATAAAATCATAAGATCATGAAGATCAGAGCAAATAATACTATACAATGATGTAAATTATAACAAATAGACTAATATGAGATACCCGATAAATGAATGCTTGGATCTTGGAGTTACGTTTTCGAAGCATAAATCTCGATCTGTGACAAGTAGTATCAGAGTTACGTTCGATCTACGTCAAATACCTTAAGAGAGGTAGACAGGATAATTAGTCTCCGTAATGAAGACGTCATGAAATTATGTGAGAAAAAATATCACGAATCTAAGGAGAAGTTTTGGATCTCACATCAAATATAAAAAGAGAATCACTAGAGTATAAAAAACATCGAATATAAAAAAAGGATCGTATAAAAAGATTCACATAATTTCTGTTCACACCATCTTTTTTTTGTGACATTTTTTGTAAAATAAAATTATGAGATTAAAAAAATCAAAATAAATAATATTTCATAAAAATATAAATCATAATAAATAAATTAATTTAAAATATCAAATAAAAATCATAATAAATAAATTAATCTAAAATATCAAATGCTCAAATCTCAAAATTATATGAATTTAAAGGTCAAATCTCGACATATGCGTCACCCTTTCATTTGAGATGCAAAATAGCCGATACAATAGTCACAAAAAGAGACAGAAGGATATATCAGTCATTTCGCCGTTGAAAGAATCTTGCACTGCAACACTTTTCAATCCCAGACCGATGGAGGTACCAATGTCTTATAGAGTGAATCGTGTCAAACTGAAGCTACGTGGGCCCCATTTGCATGCTCACGTGTTTATTCTACATTGATAAGTTTGGCGAGTTTTTTTTCCAAATAGGAGTACTTTAAGATTTTTATTCCCTATCGGAAGTAGTCTTATTTTTTATTCCTTAAACAAGATACTTTCTAACGTATGAATGCCCTGTCACGATACATGCGGCAAAAATTTGCCACATAACCCTTTTTTTTTTTTCTTTCGTACTATCATCACTTGCTCACCAAAATAGCCTGCTACCAACCACCATTGAAAGGAGCGAAATATTAAATCAATTTGCGATGAATTAAAACAACAATTGAAAATTACAATCATTATAAAAGTTGTCATCATATCATCTGTACATTTATTTTCGTATTACATTTCACTAAAAAACTCGATTACATTGTTAAGTTGTTCTAAAATAATGTACTTAAAAGTAATATCTTCAAATCCGTTTCAACATTAATCGAATCCTTTCTTAACTTTGATTTAGTACTTTTGGGGTTGTGTCCTTCATCCAACATAGGTGCTCTATTTTTTACTTGATGAATTTCTTGTACTAGCTTTTGGAGCAAGGAGTAAAGGCCTCTTTCTTGAGAATAACTTCATGTAGCTAACAAGGAATGCAATAATGAGAAAAGAGAAAACAAATTCTAGGACAAAAAAATAAGATAGGAAAGAAATAAGAGTTGATGTGGCGGTTATATGTTTACATGGCAAAAATATCGTCGATAAATTAAGAATACAACAACCTTTTTTTTAGAATAAAAATTTCTACTAACCTTAGTTTGGAAAAAAAAAAAAACTTTGACAGTTGGCAGTGTGCCGTCTGATCTTATCAGAATCGAAGCCACTGGGGACTTTCCCATTGATTCGATGTTGATTCAACTCCTCACTCGGGGTTCCCATGCTCTCTTTTGTCGTGCATCATTATTTCTCTGGACCTCGTGATCAAACCTGATCCTCCAATATCAACCGTATGATTCTCGCTTTATTGCTACAATTAAAAGCTAACTCTTGACTCGGATTATTTAGCAAAAATAAAAATTCCGTTTCAATTACAATTTTTTACTCGAGGCTCTATTTCCACCTAATGGTGGGCCCTAACTCTGTTCCTACTCGCCACGTAGCGAGTTTAAGGACGTACTTTAGATTCATGCGATATAGACTTACTCGAATCCAATACATACTTGTGCTTTGTATATGATGACCTAACACCCAATCAGCTTCTTCCCTACTGCCATGCCAGCTTTTGAAACATTCATTGCAGTGACACCTCATTTAATTATTGTTGGCGCAGGGAATTTCAAGAGAGTAGCCCGACAGCGAAGCTATGTTCTTATTTGTTTGTCTGGGCTTCTAGACCCGCAACACCATCATATCAGCGTGGCATAGGTAAATCAAAGGACAGGTGGCGTTGCAAGAAAAAGAAAGTGAGGACGACTCGTAATCCATGACTTTTTTTCTTTTATTTTATTTTTCCAGTTTTTTCTAAATTCGTATAATTTCACTGGGGATTCGTGTGTCATCGACTCAATTTTATTCACACGTGTCGCATTTCTTTTAAGGCTTCCCTCTTCTTTTTATCTCATTCTCTTTCTGTTCTCTCTTTCTTCTCTGTCACTCCACATGGAACCTCTACCAGAAGAACAAGAGGAACAACGATTCCACCGAGTCGACTCGCTACCTGAACCGGGCCTGACTTCGGCTAGTTCAAGCCAATCCTCGATTCCCAGTGCGGAGGATTCTAGAAGCACGACGAGTTCGGGTGATATCTCCGGCGCTAGCGGGAGTTCCAGTGAGATTTTAACAGCGGAGGCTGTGGTTCTGAGGTTGCTCGAGCCTGCACCTACTGGTCAGGAGTTGGATTTGACGGTAACGGCGAGAAAGAATTGCGTTGGGATGAATAATAAGGGAGTGACATGGGGGTTCACTTCGGTGATTGGGAGACGGAGAGAGATGGAAGATGCTATCGCCGTTATACCGGCGTTCATGTCACACAAGTGCGATCACGTGGGAGGTTGTACGGCTCATGGTTCTAGAACCTCCGCTGAAATCTCCCCTATCCATTTCTTCGGCGTCTATGATGGCCACGGTGGCTCACGGGTAACAAGTTTCACTTCTTTAGGATTCACTTTGCTTAATTTTACCTTAAAACTGGTTTTTTTTTCCTTTTAAAATTCAATTTGTTTTTAACTCTTTAAATGTTTTATTGTTTAAGTCTAGAAAAAAGTCAAATTATGAATTATCGGTTGTCTCCATAAAGAGAAAAAGGAGGGGAGATGGCGAGAGAGACTCCCTTCCCGTTTCCATGGAATTTTTGTTTGTATTTTCGATGGTATATCAAAATTAATATATATTGGACATAAATAAAATTTTTTGACATTGTTTGACACGTTCTCATTTTCTAGTGGTCCATTCCATACATAGGAGAATTTATAGCGCCTTTCGCATTCATCCTGGACACGTGTCATAGAAAACCAGCACAGCAGTTTTTTGTTTTTGTCTTAGCTCAATAGTTGCGGCCGCTTTGGTTTTTGTGGTTAAAAAAAAATGCTTTGCTGAGGATATCCATCCAGCCTGATTTTTGTGGTCAGCGTATTGCGAAATGCAAATCTCATGCATTACCATTTGTAAATAAGTCAAGGCCATTTTCTTAGATTGTGGGTTTAAGATGAAGTTTTGAATTACCAAGTTATCATTGGTTTAATTTAATTTTGTTTATTGGGTATGGGTCTTGCGGGGTTTCACCATTTTAGTTGAGATGGTGGTGATGTATACCGATAATGAATAGTGTGAGCCACTGGGAATCAAAGAGGTTCCTTCCTTCATTGTGGGAATGGGAAAGTCAATGGAAGTGGGACCAAATATTTCTTGGGTGCGCAACGTTTATGACATTGAGGAAGTAGCATAACCCGTGGTCGGGTCTACGCAAAGGGGTTTTAGCCTTTTGGGTGTGCGGGTTGTGGTCAGTAGTCACCTAGTTCTTCCCTCTTTTACATTTTATAATCTCCTTTTTCTTTATTTTTTTCGCTAGATTTTCTCATCTTTCTAAACAAATTGGTGCTTTTCTTGATTTGCAATGAACCCCAAACTAATTTTAGTTATAAGCCACGTTTTATCTCACCATTTGGTAGGTAGTTAATGTTGACATGTGTCCATTAGCATGTAGGCATCAAAAGAACACAATTCCACCAAATTATTTTAATTTGTAAGAAAATCATCACAAACTATGTTATATTTTCTTTGATCTTAAGACTTATTTTAATCAAATGACAATAATATTCTTATCTCATGTATACAACTGTCCTACTATTGTCATGTTTTCAACAGAATCCTTGGATTTCCTAAAGAACTTGCCTAAATGTTTTTATATAATACATTATAGGTGGAGTAATAATCTATACGTTGGTTTATATTTTATTGTCTGTTCATTTGATGATAAATGCAAAAAAATGTAATATTGTATATGTAATTTTTTTCTTAAAGGGACATGTTAAATATATTTTCTTAAATGAATACATGAGAAAATATATACGTGTACTTGTCTAATTTTTGTAGCCCCAATTCCCCATCTCATATATATATATAATGGATCTTTTAGGCACTGGTTAATACAAATTCAATTTAATTTAACCTCAAGAGTCATGATATAGAGGCACTAGATCATTGTGCCTTGAAGTTGATAATCATTAAAGCAATTGACTTTCAACGGAAGGATTACATGTGGAGAGCATATATAATTCTCTTTATGTACATGCGTCTGCTGCACTGTTTATCTATTGGAGTTGGCTATCTTTGTTAGTTTTGAAGTTACTCTTTAAGCAGTAAATTGATCTTTCAGATTTCTCAAGCTAATTAACCGCTGTTACTTGAAATCCATGATAAATTATGTGGATATATATTGTATTTTCCCCTTGTGTCAAAGCAAATTCATTATAATCAATGCTTGAGCTTGAAAGATATATACTCGGAGTTATTTTAGTTTAACATCAGTTTCTGCTTCACTATAATAGCATGAATATGAAGTTTTAGTTATCTTTTGCTGTATGAAGGAATTCTTTTCTTTCCTTACCGTGAAGCATACTAACAACAGTGCATTTGCCTGTTTGCGTTATATGACAAATTAGACAATCCCTTATTTTGACGTTCCTGATGCCACTTATTAACTTCAGCAATAATTGGTAGGTGGCTAAATTTTGTGCTGAGAGGATGCATGGAGTGTTAGCAGAGGAATGGGACCGTGAAGTGGTTGGGAGCTCAGGGTGGCAGAGGAGATGGGAAGTGGCATTTTCCAGTAGTTTTGAGAGGGCTGACAATGAAGTCCTGACTGCAGCAGTTGCACCAGAAATGGTGGGATCAACCGCTGTTGTTGTAGTTTTATCTGGTTGCCAGATTATTACATCGAATTGTGGTGATTCGAGGACTGTGCTTTGCCGGGGAACTGAAACAATTCCGTTAACTGTTGATCAGAAGGTAACGATGGAAATTCCTTTAGCCTTTAAGTCATTCTCTATTCACTAGTTTTTTGAAATTTTTTAATTAACTGTTATAATTTTACAAGTTCATACTCTTTCAAGAAATTTTAAGAACTGTATACAAAAGAAAGTGGAGGATGAAGCCAATGAGGTAATAGCCATCTTTGGTGTTCTACTAATAACTATTCAGCTACTGTCCCTTGTTCATAGCCTGATAAGAGTCTGTAACCTTCTAAGTTGAATATTTTCATGCTTTTAGCGCATAGTTACCTTATGACTTACCCAAACTAACCAAACTAGTGTGCTACAAAAACTAACTGGTTGTTTCAACAGTCAACCAAGACTAACTATAAGACATCTTATCTCTAATCAGATAATTTTAAGGCTTTGGTTCCTTTTTTCCCCTCTTTTTTGTTAAAATTAACTTGCGCATAGATATAAAGATGTTATGTATTTTTATGGCATTAGAGGGACACAAAACATTAGTGGAGCACATTATGGAGCTAATCTAATCAAAGACATCACTTGGCAAGTGATTAACTGCATTGATATATCATAGGTTCTATAGTGGTGTATTAAGCTTTGTTTCATCAACAAGATTAAAGACATTTATGTTTCATTATTGTTTCTGCTTACTACAGCCAGATAGGCAGGACGAGCTCCTGAGAATTGAAAGAGAGGGAGGGAGAGTCATAAACTGGAATGGTGCTAGGGTCTTTGGAGTTCTTGCAATGTCCAGAGCCATAGGTTCTCCTTTGTCTCTACATCTCTATTTCATTTCAAATTTCTTGTTTAGCATTTATCAAACTTCTTCATTTGAATGTGTTCAAGGCATCTTGTAATACCTTATCTGATTAACATCATTATGCTCATTGGCATCTAGCCTGTTCTATTGTTCTGTGATTTAATCACATAGGAAAAAATGTTTTGTTCTAAATGATATTTTGGCAAAACAATGATTGAAAATAAGTTGTGGATTGCTTGATGGCATTGTGCTGGATCCCTAAAATATATCTTGTATCATTGCAATAGGATCAAACATTTTGAAATGCTTATTTGGTTGCACTATTAAAATTGTGGAAAAAATGAACTTGTATTCTTAAAAAAAATCCTAACCGTATTAAAATTATTTATATCCCAAATGGACATGATAGCATGAAAACTAAAGATTCAAATTTTAACATAGAGAATTTTTAGATTATATTTCAGTATATGTTATCTGAGTGTATACATATTCATATAGTTATGTAGTATATAAGTGATTGTATTTTCTTCAACATGTTGAATCTTTTCTATTCTTTTTACTTCTACTTTTGAATGAGTTATGTGGATTCCTCATTTCCTACTGTAGGATTTAGCATGAGTAGATGGCAATTGAAGAAAGTTATAGTTATTCTTTTGTTAGCAGGTGAAAAATCTAGATGCTATTATTTTCTGTAATCTGATGAGAAATCACTTTATTGTCAGTGTAATTTGTAACTGACGCCTATCTACAGAGTGGCTAGCCTTAATGCTGTTAAAACTCTCAAATTGTCACCAATACCATTTCTAAAGACTAGATTGGTGTTAAAATGTAAAACTTGAAAGCATAGCTAGTCTACTGATCAAAATTTAAAACTGTCACCATTTGTAAAGACGAGTCTTCTGTTATTTTTTAATTTTTTTTGGAGAAAAGAAAATAGTGTTGTTGTTGTTGTTAGCTATTCTTAATGCTATTATATGGTTAATACGGTTTTATTGTCAGCCTTGTCCTGCTTTCACCGTAGCTGGAGGTCTTTGACTAGTTTAAGGACACATTGTCCTGCTTCACCAGTCGAAAAAGCTTTCATTATGATTATCCTTCTTTCGAGATAATAAAACTATAATTTTGAATAATCAAATATCTTTAGTGACTTATAATGTGTGATTGAACTACCAATACTAATCTCTGTCCCACTCTTAGTCCAATACATTGACTTCCTCCACCTAGGCAAAGAATTTTTTGCCTTTGATTTGTGATAAAAACCATATGTTGATAAAATATTCTCGTTACCATATGCTTATCAAAGCCTTCATTCTACATTCGCTCAGCATTTTCTAAAAAAGTTGGCTGGAATTTGGTTAGCCGAAACAGAAGGCAATGGCTCTATCTTTGAGTTTCTGAAATATAAAATTTGTGAACTCTAATTATAAACACATAGGTTTTCGACAGGAAAGTGGCAGTCTGCTTAGTTAAATATGTCCATTCATTTTTGTTCATATACAACAGATATTAAAAGTGGTCACTGGTTGGCACAATATACAGATCATCACATAGTTGAAATTTTAACTGATTATGGTTTGGAGAGGGGAGGTTGTTAAAAAATAAAATCATTTGTAATTGATTTACTAAAAACAGTAATACCCCCATGACACCATAATACAATTAAGGACCCATAGGAACTGGGAATTCAGATCTTGGTATCAAGTCAAGCTTGGGTTGTAGATTAGCACTAGCAACTTTCAACATTTGGTTTCAATATAGCTTCTCATAAACTATCATGATTTTGTAAATCACATTAGTGTTGAAAGTTATCATTATGTTTGCGATTGTAGTTAGAAGCAAGAAAAAGACAGGGAATCCAATTCAATGTAGGAATATTAGTTCTTCTTACTGTGTCTATGACCATAAGTAGCGGGTAATGTGGGGCTGGGGGTGAGGTTTCTGTTTTGTATTGCTTCTGAGTGCTGATATTTTTAAGAACCCATTGCGGCTGAAATAATACTGGAAAGACAATGGTAAACAAAAAAATGATAATTCAGCTTCTTTAGTCATCCTTATGATTCTTAATGTTTGCGATGTGTCTCTCAGGTGATCGCTATTTAAGGCCATGGATAATTCCAGTGCCAGAGATTACCTTCATGACCAGGACTGATGAGGATGAGTGTTTGATATTGGCCAGTGATGGGTTGTGGGATGTCATGACAAATGAAGAGGCTGGAGAGGTAGCTCGCCGCCTGTTAAGACGGCGGCGAAGGTCTTTGATGGCTGATGGGGTTTCTCCGGCTCAAGGAGTAGCTGATAATCTCACAGAAATAGCAATAAGACGAAACAGTTCGGATAATATTTCTATCATTGTTGTGGATTTAAAATCCAAGGGGAAACGCCAGCCGAGGCAGTGAAATCTTTCTTCAATTACCTCGTAATCCATTTCCTTAATTCTCCCCTGCCACTAAAGTTAACAGATGAGATTGGTAAGATTGATCTTGTAAGTTCACCTACTTACCAAACCAAACAGATACCCCATGTGACTGAACAGGAGGAGGCCACTTACAGCTATTCTTGCTGATCTTTACAAAGTTGACCGGAATATGACATCTACTCCATAATAGGAACAGGTTTGATGCTGCAATCCTTTAGATCAATCCTCACTTTTATATAGTTTGGTCAAGAGAGCGAGAAGCAGGGATTAAAAAAATAGGAGCTCCTTTATGCATATGTTGTGAAGAAGAGAAAGATAGGAAAGGATGAGTATCTTTTGTTTATGCTATTTGTTTGTTGTGTTCTTTTCCAATTCCTATCCTTCTCTTCTCCCTAGCAATTAGAGGGAAATTAAACTAGGGAAAGGTTCAATCATTGTAACTGTGCCTTTATAACTTGTATTATTCTTTGTTTCACTTTGTAAATTAAAAAAAAAGAAAAGAGTAAAATATGATGGATCGATGATGATGGCTATTACATTAGTTTTGGACTGTTTTTTTGGGCCAAGGTTTGGACTGGACTCAAATAAGACAAGCTACAAACAGAACCACCAAATCAACAGAAAACAGTCACTTGTTTTTGTTTTATACCAAAAGAATGTTTTTTTATTGTAAGAAAAATTTGAGGTTAAATAGATTGTTCAATTCAAGATAAGATGTTTCGTATCTGATAATTTAAAATAAGTAGTTGTAAGTTATGCATTAGATATAATTTTAATAAATGATTATCAAGAGAACGATTTTAATCAATTAAATCAATTATTTGTTGACGAATGATTAATTTTATTTGTTAGATATTCATATATCTATAATGTTGAAACAACAATAGATCAATATTTTCAATTCGGAATTAACAGTTAATTTATTCAAATAAATTATATCACTTTTAAAATTAAAATTATAAGGTAACATCTGTTTTAGATTTTTTTAAAAAAACTTTTGGTATATAACATCGGATTTAGATATTAGTCCATGACAGTGAATGGTAATTTTTGTCCCCGCCAACCTTAAAGAAAGTAATTTTGAGAATCCTGTTCATTAATTTCACAATCTACTTAATAGATACAGAGAATCTAATGTATTTTCTTAAAAGTTTTCAAGAGTCATGTTCATTACTAAAAGATCAGATTTTCTCTGATGCTTTTTGTACCATAGGTTGCACATTCTTAACACAATTGCCTCTTTTGCTTCTTTTTAATGAATATTGAAACAATATTATTGCATGCTTCTATATTTGTTGGCTCTTTGTAACTTTTTCTGCTTATATATAGTCTGGTTTGGCTAGCTATTGTAGGATATCAAGTAATTTTGCCTTCAAATGGAGAGCAGACCTTTGCGTCAACAAATTGCTGCCATGAGGCAATCCTTCTTTGATGAGGTTTTCTAATTCCATCAAAATATATATTGGTTATGTTCATTTTTTCCCCCATTTTCAGGTTTAGAATTAGAGCATCTTTGTATGTCACCCATTTTATTAATTTCTGCCCCATTATTAATTTGACTACACTGCAAACAAAAAGCCTTCCTTTTTCATTTTATCTTCTTGCTATAGGGGAAATCTGAAGGTTTATTTTCTTAATTTCCATTTTAAATCCTTAATTATCTTATTCAAGCAAAAAAATAAAACTAGTTATAACATTTTCATTTTATCTTGGTTTGACTTATTTAATTTGTTCTCCTAGAATATGCATCATATATGAACTTTTCAACATTTTCTTTTTGTCATGAAAATGTTTTGAACTCCTCTAGGAAAAATGCTAATTCATAAAAAAAAGGATTAATTGGAACCTTTGAAAATCTTAAATCTTTGCTATTGAAGGAAATTTTGGACAGACAGTTCATTCAACTGGAGAAGCTAGAGGATCGAGAGAACCCCAACTTTGTCGAGGAGGTGCTTACCTTGTACTTCAGGGACTCCACTACGCTGCTAGCTACGATTGAGCGAGAAATGTTAGTAGACTATTGATTTGGATAATTGTATTTCCCTCTAGGTTTTCCTTTGAATATATAATTTAATTTCACCTTATTTTTTTTATTATGATGATGAGGGTAACAATGAACAGTGATGATTATTTATCTGCATCCAGGGAAAATGTCCCTATTGACTTCCCAAAGGTAGACAGGATCCTTCATCAGCTCAAGGGCAGCAGTGCCAGGTAAATTATTAATTCCATTAGCTAGTAACTTAAATATATTACGTTTTGAATCTCCAAACAAGCTTTAATAAATCTTGCTCAAATTACAGTATCGGTGCTAACAAAGTTCGAAATGAGATCACCAAGACAAGGGAGCTTTGGCAGCAAGGAAACCGGGAAGGGTACTGATCATATTCTTGTTTACATCCATATTTTCTCCATCTAGTAAATATATTTATATTTTCATTCTTTAGTTTCAAGGATAAACCGAAGAAATGCTCAACTTTCAGTCATGCCAATTTAATATTTGTTTAGGCCCTTTTATACGTGCAATACTGACTTCCATTTGAAAATGAATGTGACGCGCAGGGCAAAGGCCACCTTCCAGGAGGCACGGAAGGAGCATGACACTCTCAAAGCAAAGCTCGAGCCGTACTTTCAGGTTTATCTCTCGAGTCTCGACCCACTTGGACCATATCTAAATCACATTTTTCTTGCTAATTCCTATGTACAAAACTCACTTTGTTTCCTATATATGGCAGCAACTGAGGCAAGCTGGCCCTGCTGAGACAGCAATGCGTCCCAGGTGAAGCCATCACGCTAAAGCTGGAGAGTGGAGTGGAGGCAGAAGCTGCTATTTGATGGCCCTAGCCCCAGCAAATCCACCTTTTAAATGGTCTGGCTCTGGCTATTAGAACAAAAATAAAAACTAGGGATATCTTTCTTTCTTCTATGTTTGTTAGTGTCCTTAATCAGTTTGTTTAGCTATATCTTTGAGTTCTTTGTTTCTGGGTTTTGAGGCAATCTACAGTTCCTCGAATGGCTTGTCTCTTTCATTTCTGTGTACCTTTCTATCATGTAATAAGGGTTTGCTTTTGTTACTGTTACTAATATATATATATATATATACTAATAGTAGCGTATATTATAAGGAAGCTTCATATTTTCAATGTATATCAGAAGTAGATTTCAGTTTCCATATGAATTCTGAAATATTATATCCTACAATCAGTTTCCAACTTTCCGTGTTCCAGTCTGTTCCCACTCTCTCTCTCTGTCTCCCTCTCTGCATCTCTCTTTGTTAAATTATAAATTAAATTATAATAGAAAGTTAAATTATAATCTATGCCGAAAAGTAAACAAAATAATGGAAACAAAAGGCCTAAAAGACAAAAAAGAAAAGGAAAGTTAAATTGTAATCTATGCCGAAAAGTAAGCAAAATAATGGAAACAAAAGGCCTAAAAGACAAAAAAGACGGGAAAGAAAAATGTCGGAAACTGGGCGTCTTAATCTAAGCCTGAAACCCAACTAATTAACTCCAGAGTAGGCCTATTTCTCAGACCCAAATTCGATCATGGGCCTCGATGCAATTAAACACAAATACCAGCTTGGATAAAGTAAAAGGATCTCTCAAAATTCCCAAAAGTTCCATTGATGAGGTTTTTCTTCTATTTCGCATAAAAACATTTGCTGTGCCATTTTTACATTTTCAGGTTTAAAGCACCTTGCATCTCATTAGGCATTTTATTTCTGTCCCTTGAGCAACTACATAGTTATAGCATAAATGAAATAATCTTTCCTTCAAATTTTAATTAGCTAGTGTGAGCTCTTAGACATTTTTTATTGTTTTAAAAGTTAATTAAAATGATAATAGACCCGTTCAAAAGTATATATGGTTCATAAATTTTATTTATATATCATATATGTTACAATTTGATAGTATATCACTGCTATGTCATGGTTCATGTTAAAGACCAGCTGACAATATTAATCTACATGTCTATAACCAGTTTTCCCATGTTTTGATACCTTCACAGCTCCATTAGCACAATGTTCTGCATTACGTACACAACTAGGATATTTCTTCCAAGTATAACTAATCCAAGAGTGAGTGCTAGTAGCTCTAGGGTAACACTAGAACTGACAGCTATAGTGGCATTTCCAGTCTTTAAGATCAGTTAACAAGTACAACTATGTTTGAAGGTTGGCAAGCTTGGAGAATGCTCCTTGTTGGTTCTTGAGCTGAGCATAGGTACCTCGTTCAATCACCTTCCCATCGGCAACAAATGCAATTGAGTCAACCTTTTTTATTGTGTTAAGCCGATGAGCTACTACAATTGTGGTTCTTCCCACCATGATTCGATCCAATGCTTCTTGAACAACTTGTTCGGATTGCACGTCAAGAGCGCTAGTTGCTTCATCTAGTAAAAGAATTCTTGGGTTCTTAATTATAGCTCTAGCAATGGCCATTCTTTGTTTCTGTCCTCCTGATAATTGTACCCCTCTTTCTCCACATTCTGTTTCATATCCTTCCTTCAGTGCCCTACACAACAAATTCAATGAAAAACCAGAATTATCATTACATTGCAAGGTTGCAATGCCATTAATGCAATGGCTTGAAAGTAACAACTTACGAGATAAACTCATGAGCATTTGCAGCTCTAGCTGCCTCCACAACTTCATTCTCTGATGCATCAAGCTTTCCAAACAGAATGTTGTCCCTGATGCTGCCTGAATATAACACTGGCTCTTGGTTGACAAGTGCCATTTGCCTCCTGCACCATTGAACATCTAGTTCTCTTATGTCGATACCATCTACTTTCACTGACCCCATTTTGACATCATAAAATCTTTGGATTAATCCAATCACTGTTGATTTTCCACATCCACTTTTCCCAACTAGTCCAACGCTTGTGCCTGCTTTCACCTCCAGGCTAAATTGGCGTAACACTAGTGTCTCTGGCCTGCTTGGATATGCAAAATCAACCTTCTTCAGCTCAATCTTTCCAGTCATTCTTTCTAACTTTGTTCCACTGGTGCCATCTCCTCCCTAATACAATAGTCAACAGATTAAATGAAAGAAAATTTTATGTTGTAATATAAACAAAGATAAATTAATTTGACTACATTTTTTTAGCATTAAGGAAACATTCTACTTACTTGAGACCCTGGAATTGTGGATTGCCGGTCAAGGATCTCAAACACAGAGGCCACTGCGGTTGAGCCCTTGGCTAAATCAGAGGTCATGCTTCCGGCATCAGCTATGACCTTTCCAGTGCTCACCAAGACAAAGAATGTCTTAAACACATCCCCTGCCGACATCTCTCCCTTTTCGACTAATGTACCCCCATACCAAAAATCCAAAGCCCATGACATAAAGGTTAAGCATTGAGCTGAACCCATACCAATTCCTGCAAGCCATGATTTTTTCCTTGCCTCTTTCCTTGGTTCCTCTTGAGCCTCATCAAAAAGTTGAAGAACCTTACCTATGCTCCCAAATGAAGTTACAATTCTATGATTATAGACTGCTTCCACAGCTATTTGAGTACTTTGATTTTGTGCCTTGACAAAATTAGTAGAAATACTAGAAAGCAAAACTTTTCGTGTATAGAAACATAGAATTGTGAGAGGTTGGACTGCAATCATGACTACTGCTAACTTCCAAGCGACAATTAGTCCGATAATCATCGCGATGGTAACAGCAGAAGTAGTTTGAACTAACAATGAAATTCTGTCTGCAACAAGAGTCTTAACCATTGAAGCCTGATTGCTCAAACTAGAACATAAAGCTCCACTAGAGTTTTTCTCTTCATCAAACCAAGCAGCTTCAAATGACAAAATTTTTTCTAGCATTCTCTTCCGGATTCTCCGGGTTAGCCGCTCACCCATATAAGCAAAACTGTAATGCTGAATAAGATTCAGAATGATGGAGAACAATGTAAGTGAAGAAAATATCAAAGCATAGGTCCGTATCCGAGCCTGCATTTCTTGGTGACTTGTTGCAAAAAAGGCTGAAATCATGCCACCAATGGTTAAGGCATAGACAGGTTGAACTGCACCAAAAGCTATAGCTGAGAGACTACCAATCAAACCTTGCTTCCATTCTGAGGAATTTAAAGAGAGAAGCCGAAGGAAGGAAGGAGGGGGATGAGATACTGGTTTTGGACTTTCAATATTGGACAATGGTGTAGCAAAGAAATCTGGGCTTGATTTGACTGTGCTTAGCCTGCCTGTACTGATTCTTCCAACAGAAGAAAGGCGTGTTTCAGGATTTTGTTCATGGTCATCACAGCTGAATTGTCTTTGTAGCTTTGCAAGTTGTGCGTAGTGGCCATTTCTCATGTTTATCAGATCGTCGTGCGATCCCATTTCAATAATACAACCATTGTTAACCACTGCAATGAGGTCTGCATTTCGAATAGTGGAGAGCTTGTGGGCAACAACCTGATCAAATTGGATCTCTGCTTAATTAGAAGAGACCAAGGCTTTTTTTATTCGAACTGCAATCTAAATTAAACTAGAATGAAATCCTTAATCTAAATAAATTTCTTCCTAGCACTTCCTGCAATCTAAATTAAATGTATGTCAGGACAAAAAAAATGGTGTAAACTTTAAAAAAAAAGATTTATTAGGTAACAAAGACAACTCATCTTTGCTATTGTTGTAAAACGTTGACCAATAATCAGGAAACATGCCGGACAGGGTGTTTTAAGAGAACTATGCACAGAAAGTTTATGGGAAAATGATTATATTGAAATTATCATAGTGCTTTCCTTAAGAGCACTTTAAATTGGAAACAAGTATCGAAAAATGATGAGGTAATTAACAATATATATGTAGTCCCATCTTGCCACAAAGCAGAATCCAAGGAAATTCATATATTTTTCATCAGCCACAATTAATGGAACTGACATCTTGTATTTTATAAAAGAAATTAACCAGTGAAAGCAGTCAAACTAGTTATCACTAACCAGAGTGGTTCTTCCCATGGAGGCCTGATCAAGTGCATTTTGTACCAGTGTTTCTGATTCAGAGTCAAGAGCACTTGTTGCCTCATCAAGTAGTAGAATCACAGGGTTCTTGATAATGGCTCTGGCAATCGCAATTCGCTGTTTTTGTCCACCTGATAAAAGTGCTCCGCGTTCGCCAATCTGGTACAATATTTTTCATGTTAAAAGTCAGACTTGAATATATATATTTCCTGATTTGATTCAAGAAATAACAGACATAACAAATTTCACAAATTTTTTAAGCAATGGAAGCACAAGTTTTTATTGTTAACACCCACCTTTGTTTCATACCCTTCAGGAAGCTGTCTGATGAAATTATGAGCATTAGCAGCCATGGAAGCGGCCATGACTTCATCCATTGTAGCATCTAGTTTCCCAAACATTATATTTTGCTTTATTGATGTCCCAAACAATGCATGTTCTTGACTAACAAGCCCCATTTTTCCTCTTATCCATTTCAATTGCAATGTTCTTATATCAACACCATCAATCTTGACTACTCCATCGTTTGCATCATAAAATCGTTGCACCAGTGCAATTGCGGTAGATTTGCCGCTTCCACTTGCACCAACAAGAGCCACAGTTTTGCCTGCTTCAACTTTGAGGTTGAAATCTTTGAGAACAACGGAATCAGGACGAGAAGGATATATGAATTTGACATTCTCAAATTCTACATCCCCTCGAATTGTGTCTAACACAATGCCTTTTGTGTCTTCACTATCGATTTCTGGAGTCCGGTCAATCCTAGCAAATATTCTTGTAGCAGCGACGGCAGCTTCTGTGAAGTACTTCAGATCAGCAAGTGCTACTCCAAGAGACCTACATTTAATTTACCACATTAATTTTAGTTAAGTAGCTAGAGAAACTTAATTTCCACTTAGTGGCTGGCTACATACAGATGAACAATCTGAAAATGAGTACTAGGAGAACTTTGGTTGAACTAGGGGAAAACTTCGAAAGGATCAGATAAATATTTGATTCGAGATTCCTGAGGTAGTTTCATGCATATCCCTTATCGTATAATTAGAGCTTATTAGTCCATAATTAATCAATATGAGTAATCAGAAATAAGATGGGTTAAGGTATCATTTACAGTCCGCCCAATATAAAGGAGAGGCCAGCTGCATAGACCCTTC